AGTTGCAATCCCCTTGGGTTTCCCATCACCAAATCACCCATGTGCCCTCATCATAGTCCAGTGCATTCCCTCCCCCCACTGTTTTTGATCCCATTCCCCACTCCACCCCTACAAAATGTCTAAACAGAGTAATTTTTTAAATGTTTCATTAAATTTTTATCTGCTTGAAATAGAGATGGAAGCTTTTAAAGAATAATTTGCATGTTTTGCCTACCTTTATATTCTTAATTAGTACATTATCATTATACTAGAATGATGACTAATTGGTCAAAACCAAAACAAAAAATAAAAGGTTATATAGTATTTATTTCGCATTAGTAAATTGTTTTTGTTTAATTTTTATTTCTATGAGATCCAGCTTGGGGGTGGGAGGCAATTATAGAAAAGTATTATAAATTAAATTGCAGTTAAGTGACATCTGGAACTGACAGTGTAACAGGAGAGCCCTCAATTTGGCATTAATAATAATCTTGTCAATTTATACATCTGGCACTGCTAATCATTTTAGTCTCTTAGACAACACCTCTTTTCTGTTCCTCATTATCAATAAATGGACTCAACTTTGTATGTCACTGAGAAAAAAGGAACATTTAAAGCTGTCATGTACTGCCTTCAATATAGCAACTATCCTTTCTATATCAGGTTCCATGAAATTGCCTTGTTCCCATGAATGAATTATCTGTGGACTTACCTGTGAACAGCCTCTTTATTGGTGCATTGGATTTTATTCTTGCTCATGGTCTGCATCTTGGTGTAGCAATTGTTCCCTTCCCACTTGCATCATAAGTAGATCTGCCTTTCCAGTAGGTCATTATCAGTGGTACACTAACAGTATAAAATGATCTCTCAAATCTACATTCTTCAAGTAGCTTGCCATTTCTTCCTTTGTTTACCACAAAACTTCTGGAAAGCATTGTCTGTACCTTTATCTAATTTGTGAAGCTGTCCTAATGAGATTTTCCACTCTCCCATTTGTCAGTGTCATCAGCGATCTCCACATTCCTATGGCCAGTTTTAGGCCTCATTTTATGTAAGCTGCCAGCAGCACTTAACCCTTAAACTTTGTTCTGTTTTTCTGTTTTTAAGGATGCTTCTCCCACTTGTTCCCTGCTAGTTTTACCAGCTCCTCCTCCTCAGACTCTAGTGCAGCTTCCTTTTCTCCCACATTTCTCTAAGGTGATTATGCCCCTGTATTCAGTCCTCCTGCTTATTCTCTATCAGATCATATAACTCAAGACTTTAAATTTAGCTCTCTTCCCAGTTCTGATAAGAAGACTCAGGGTCCCAAAGGAAGTGGTAATGCTGTAAAGATCAGATACATTATTTGCAAAAAACATGAGAAAATCATGGAAGCCATAGAAAAATCTAGAATTCTATTCAGTAAAGTGCCCACACAGTATATTGAAGTTGAACCCGGGCATAGGGATTGAATTGGGTGACCAGAGGGTTCACGGTGGGACCACTTTAGAAGCAGCATTTGCATTGCCGGTAGTTGGGCTGGATAAACTCATGTTTACAAGCTCTCTGATTAAGACAAAAATTTGGATAATTTATGGTTAAATGGAGGAAATAAAATTGTATGAAAGATTGAAAAAAAAAATTGTCTTTTCCCCTTTAATGCTGAATGTCAGTCAGGACATCTACACTTAAACTGATCCAAACCTAACTTTTGATTCCCACCCATTCCAACTTCACCACCCGCCCCCATATACTCTTTTGTAAAGCTTCTTCATTTATTTAAATGTCAACCTTATTCTTCAAATTGATTAGGCCAAGAAACCTTGTTGTCATCTTTGACGTTTTTCTTGCTCTTATACCCACGTGTAGTCCCATTAATGATTGTTGACTTCAGTGTAAATGTGTGTGTGTGTGTGTGTGTGTGTATGTAAGTATTGCTATCAGTCCTCATCACCTGAACTGCTTGTCATTCAGTGCCATCCATTATTTTCTTTGGATTTTTGCAGAACATCTTATGTACTCTTGTTTCCACTGTTCCTTGCACTAATCAGTTTTTTATACAGTAGCTATAGGGGGTGATTGAACATAAGTTAGATTGAGACTTCTCTGCCCAAACCCTCAAATGACAAAAAATTCGTATAATTTCATTTCAGGTAATTGTAGAATTTTTTTGTGTAGTTTGTCTTGTTTTACTTTTTCTCTGCAGCTCTTACTAACATACACTATACCATTTCATGTAATTGTAGAATTTTTTTGTGTAGTTTGTCTTGTTTTACTTTTTCTCTGCAGCTCTTACTAACATACACTATATTATGTATTTGCTTGCTAGTTTAACTACCCCCTTTATTAGAATGTAAACGTTATAGAAAGGCAGTGACTTTGTGTATTCTGTTTGTTCCTGCATCACCCACTCCTGAAACAGTGCCTGGCATGTATTTATGGGTACTTTGTAAACATCCTAAAATAAATTAATTTTAAAATGCATTATTTGATTGAAACTCATACTTGCTTTGATATACTCAGTTACTGTAGTTCAAATTTATGGAATTTTGTTACCTATATTTTTATGCCTTTTGCCTTAATACTTTGATCCTCATGACTCTGAATCAGTGTGATTCTGTGAAGAAATTGAGACTCGCAGAAATCAAATGATTGAACTAAATTCATGTAGTCAATAATTGACACTTTTGCCCATCAAACTATGAATTCACTTATTATCTTAATCAAATTCTTCGTGCTTCTATCCCCTGCAAGACAGACTTTTCTCATGTACTACCAATTTACCACAATTAAAATAACATGGCAAAGACTATTGATTTCTCATAAGTTATGATTAAAGTTTTAAGTCCCAGTTACTGAGACAATTTCCATGAAAGTCTTTGCATCTTCAGTGCTAGTGTATAGTTTAGTTCTTATAAAATTCTTGCTTCTGAGTGAGAAACCAGGATTAATTCATAAGTAAATCAGCATTCTGTTGATTTGTAAACAACTTTTAATGTGGGTAGTTAAGCCAGAATTTATCAGAACTCTTTTTAGATGTAATGTTTTTAACTAGTTGAGACTCATATTTTTATTGTATTAAAGGTAACACTAAAATACATTGGAATAATACCAAAGATGATGAATTTTATGGACTCATAACCATATTACTTTGTTTATACCATATTACTTTTAATTTTATAGACTCATAACCATATTACTTTGTTTATAGATCTTCATACAATTATGGTAGTAATTCAGTAACATGACTTGTTTCATAAAATGCACACTATTTTTTACATACTTCACTGCTACAGAATATCAGTTTAGATACTTAACTCTAGCTAAAAGTAGAAGGTTTAACTATTAATTAAATTTCCCTCCTCCCTTTCAGCAAGCTTCCTCCCAGCCTGTATGCTGCCAGCATCTCTAAAGCACAGCAGGAAGAAATTGCAGGCACTTTCCTAGTGACTCTGGACCCACTTATTAGTCAGCTTCTCACGTTTCAACCTTTCATGCAAGTGGTTTTGGACAGTAAATTAGGTAAGCTTTAAAGCAGATTTAATCTTAAATCAACTATTAACAATGATGTGTCAGAGGCAGTTATTTTCCTCATGTGTTATCCTTTTGAAAATTTTACTTAAAATTCCTTCTACTTTGTTTTTCTTGGAACAATTTGTCACTAAAGGAATTATACCTCTAATTTCTTTACCTAGAGCAGATTTCTGCTGAAAGTACGTGGCGAGTGTGCTTTTACCAATCTTTTGTAACTAATTAATGTGTTTCTGTTACTGTAAGAACTGCCATGTGAACTGCAGTTCCCACAGTGTCTGCTGCTGGTTGTCATTATGGATAAGCTGCCCTCTCACCCTGAGGATGTGCAGACCCTGTGGTGTGCGGAAAGCCAGATCGCAGAAGCGACAACCAGGTAGCATCGTAGTTATTCATGTACTCTCATATTACAAATGGCTTAAAAAGCCTTATTGTTAAATCAGGTATTGTGGTTAATAATGAACTGTGTAGACATCATACATTTTGCGGTTTTACTAAAATGGATAAGTATAAGACCTGTATATAAATGTATGTATAAAAAAAACTATAGCAAATGCTAAAAAATATTTTAATTTTGTTGAGTGTTTTAGAAGGTATTGCCTAATAGTGTTCTAAACACTGAGTTTAATAAAGTAGGTATATATAGTTAGTAACATTTAAAAATGAGCTTTGGTAACTTAGAGAAGTTAGCATTCTATTTTTCTTCTGGGGAATTTCACTTGTATTTATCCTCTGTGCCAATACTGGCTACAGTTTCTTACTCCTTGGATGTTTTAATTTTTCAACGTTTCCTTTAATACATTTTGTGTATAAATACCAGCTGGATTTTAATTCAGCTCAGAGCTTCCCATGCTAGAACTTCTCAGCTTTGTATTTAAATTGCATCCTATTTGTTGCTCTCTTCTGTTTTTGTTCCTCATTCTTTTCTACATACACACACACACACACACACACACACCTATATATCTTCTGTCAGAATGGTTATTCATATCCACTTATACTTTGTCTTCGTTATTTACTTGTATTTTGCTTGTTTTTAATTATTTAAAATTTGAAATATCTTAAACCATATCATCTTAAAATTACCACTCCCTATCTGAGCTATAATACTTATTTTCTATTTTATGTATGATACCCTAATGTAATTAAGACATTGTGCTATATTAATCTCAAGTTCCTTGGCAAATATGTCTTTTACTTCGTATATACTTTTTTTAAATGTTCAGGAAAATTTTTGTGTTTTAAGGAATTTTTCTAATAGGGACTATAATTTATTTTTAAAAAAGATTTATTTATTAGTTATGCATACAGAAGTGGGGTAACAAGCCAGAGTTGCAGGGGCAGTGAGAGGATTCACCAGAGACAGGGTGGGGAACAGAGCAGGCAGATTGAAGAAATGTACTGCTAAGGGGAGCAGCAGGCAAGACAGGAAAGGTATGCCCTGCCATGTGGGTCACCTCCGTGGCCTGTGATCGGACTCGCATTGAAGTGGCTGCAGCTACCTTTGCAGTGCTGCGCTTTAACCCACTGCACCACTGGGAAGGGCCCTATATTTTATTTTTATGTGAACACGTTCACCCATATTAGAAAATGTTGTTCATATGTACCTCTTGTGATAGTTTGCTTTGCTAAAATAACTCTGCATATCATATTGTTAGTATATCTGCCAGTTTCTAATTTTTAACATTGAGTTCAATGTTCTTGATTTCCTTGCAGGGCGTCTCTACTCAAACGCATTTTCTACAGTTTCGAACAGTGTTCTGGTGAACTCTCTCTGCCTGTTCATTTACAAGGAGTCGAGAGTAAAGGGCAAGCTGAGGTTGCTGTCACCTTGTATCAGCATGTCTGTGTTCATCTGTGTACATTTATTGCTTCATTCCATCCCTCATTATTTCCTGAACTGGTAAGTTTGCTACTTGTTAGGCTAAGCTAAGGTTACACTTTGGCTTTCTTTTCACTGAAATTTGTGATAAAGAAGGAAGTGTGGGAATACTTAATATATATTCTTTTTAAATGTAGTTCTCTCAGCTTGAACATTTATCATTATATCAGTTGTGTCCTAAAAGGTAGGACACACTAGCGTTCAGTTATAATATCTAGCTAAATTACTTGAGAAAAATTTTTGTTAGAAATGTGTAAATAGAGTATGAGAAAAGATGTAGGTTTTTACCTGATTCAGTTTATTAAGAAAAGAATAATAGTTTAAAGTCTCCTACAGCTTTTAGACATAATGAAGCTATGTGTGTCTGTGGAACCACATTCGAAAAAAGGTTGGGGAGATTGAAGGAAAGAAATTCTTAGAATTTATATGATTCAGCATTATTTAAGATATTATGTAGTGAGCACATGTTAAATATTGTATTGGAATAGTTAAAGGCAAAAACAAGAGCATAGGCATATGTTGCATATGTTTCAAAGATGGTAGGCTGGTAGGCTACTTAGGGAATTTCTGTGGATCATAGGGATCAAGTTATCACATTTAAAACCACTTTGGAATCCACATACACATAGCTCAGCACCTGCTTAAAATATAGTAGATGCTCAATAAATGTTGAGGGCTGGCAGTATTACTTCTTTCATATACTGGAGAGTAGTTATTTGGATTCTGATAGTGTTACCTTGTTTTTAACTTTGAGGAATGTAATAGTAATAAGAATTTATCATGAACTTTCTGGTTTTCTTTAGGAGTCTGCCCTGTTGACTGCTGTGCTGGATGCTAATATGATCACCTCTCTGTTAGCCATGGATGCATGGTGCTTCCTTGCTCGGTACAACATATTTTTTGGTTTTCAGATTGATTTGTAGATGTGGCTGAGGGTAGCAATTTTATTTTTGTATCACTGGTACCCTGTGATTTTTAATTTATTACTCTTTTTTTTCTTACCTACACAGACACTTAGCTCTTTTAAAATAACTACTTCATTTCACCCCAGAGATTATTGCACATTTTTCCTCTTCTCTTTATTTTATCGGTAGGTATTTGTTCACCTCTTTATTTACTTATTGCTTGATAATAGCCCCTTTAGTACTTCTTTATGCCTGGCTTGATGTTGACATATTCTTCTAATTTTTGCTTTTCAGTGATATTTCATACCTTTCCTTCTTAAGTGATAATCTTGCAGGATAGCATATTCTAAGCTGAAAATTTTTTTCTTTGAGTACTCAAGTATCTCCTGTCATGCCCTTCTTGCCTAAGATTACCAGTGAAAAGCTCACAGATGGTCTAATAGGTATTTCCTTATCGGTTACTCATCTTTCAGTGCTTTTACTATTCTGTCATTGTCATTGGCTTTCAACTATTTTGTCATAATGTGTCTCTGAGAGTGTATCTGTCACTATTTTGTTTGGAACTCTTAGGGCTTCTGGGATCAGAATGTCTGTTTCCCAGTTTGAGGTAGTATTCAGCAGTTACTTCTTTTAAGTTTTTTATGCTATTCTCTTTTTTTTTTCCCCCATCAGAGATCCCCATGACACAGATTTTACTACTCTGTAGGTCCCAAAGAGCTCTTAAACAGTTTTTCTTTTCCTTCTTTGTCGTTTCATTTGTGTATTATTCATTATTGTACTTTCAGGCTCACTAGTTTCTCTCCATTACTTGCATATATTTACCATTGATGCCCTCTATTGTATTTTTTTTTTTTTTAAGTAGAAGCATTCTTTCTTAAGATTGACTTATTTATGCATATAGAATTGGGGTACAAGCCATAGGTGCAGAGGCGGTGAGAGGACTCACTGGAGACAGAGAGGGGAGCAGAACAGGCAGATCAAGGAAATAACACTGCAGAGGGGAGCAGTGGGCAGGTCAGGAGAGGTCTCCTGCGGCATGTGGATCACCTCCGGGGTGGGGATTGAACTCGCACTGAAGTGGCTGTGGCCGCCTTGCAGTGCTGTGTCCTAACCCGTTGTGGCACCAGGGAGGGCCTCTATTGTATTTTTTAAATTTGCCTCTAATATTTTTTTAGAGCCATTAGTTCTACTTGCCAGTGTTATATTTTCTATCTTTGTTGTGTTGCTGTCTTTCATCATCCATTGTTTTCTTAATTTGGCAGCATGGTTATAAACTGCTACTTTAAACTCCTTACCAATCACAATCTGCAGTTCTGCTGGATGGAGACTTTTTTCTTGGGTTGTTTTGCTACATTTGTGGAATGTTCCTTTTGTCTCTTCATGATTAGTGTTTATTGGTTGTAAGAGGGTGTTTCTTTTTTCTTAATGACTTTTTCCAGGATCTTTCCGTGACTGTTAACCTCACAGAGCAATGCCTTGTACCTGTTGAATTGGTCACAGCACTGGGGTCGGCATGGGGCATTAGGACATTGAACAGTCACCTCCAGTGAGCATTGGGTTCAAGTTCCCTGTAGTGCTGTGGGTACCTGAGTTGTGTGTTCATAGAGATTCCTCTTCTGTAGGCCAATGTCTCCCGCATTTTTGTGCCAACCTCCACTCTAGGCTGTGCTTGAGCAGTCGATGTAGCACTAGCCTGAGGACCAGAGTTGAAACACAGCGGCAGGTGGAAATTTTTCCTTTGCTTTTTGAGTAGTGTTACCTTGGGCCACTTGCTCTTTTTACTGGCATCCAGGGCCTGAAACTGGTTAGTAAGAGCAGTCAGTTGCTCTGGGTTTTGGCCCTGGGTAAGGCAGATGTTATTACTATCACAGCCTCAGGCTGCAATCCTAGTCTCTTGTAGGAGACAAAGGCTCATCTGCAGATTGGGACCATCTGCTCTAGTTTAGGAGCATCAGGATCAAGCTAGTAATCCCCTTCTCCCTTACTATCTTAGTTCTTCAGTGGTTTGTGACTTGTGTCCTGCACACCAACTCTGTGCACCACCTTCTCCATTGTGGTATCCAGTTTTAAAATTGTCATACGGGCATATGCCTTTTGAGTCAACAACAGCAGAAGCATTTTGAACAGTAGATGCACTCCCTTGACATGTATTACCTGCTGTTGCTCTAACCAGTTGACAGTTTCATATATCTTTCCACTGAACTGTTGATTTTCTTGTATGCCATAGTCAACCTTTTGTCTTTTAGGGGTTGTTGATTTTGTTTTGTGACTGGGTTGTGACTATGTGGAGGAAGCAAGCTGGAGTGTTCATTCTGCTACTGTGTTGCTGGACTAAGTAAATGATACCTAATAGTCTATTAAAAAAACTATGTCTAAAAAAAAAATCATCTTCTGTCTCAATAGTCTTTTTACAAACCACCCCCCAAATGGGTTTATTTCATGTCACATTGCTTAATTAGGAACCAAGTTCCCTCTTTGGCATGCCAAAGATGCAGTAGTTGGGCCCTCCCTGGTGGCGCAGAGGGTTAAAGCACTGCACTGAGAAGCTAAAGCCACTTCATTATGAGATGGATCCCCACCCCAGAGTCCACCCACAGGGCACGGCAGACCTCTCCTGATCTGCCCGCTGCTCCCCTCAGCAGTGTACTTCGTCGATCTGCCTGTTCTGCTCCCCACTCTGTCTCTGATGAAGTCTCTCACCGCCCCTGAGCCTCTGGCCTGTACCCCAGTTCTGTATGTACAAATAAATAAATCTTTAAAAAAAAAAAAAGATGCAGTAGTTGCTGGGATAGTTTTATATATTATAATATTCCTTAGCCATGGAAATACCTCCATTTTACAGTGAAAATATTTACTGTTTTATGGAAGTGTATCTTAATTTCTGAATATCTGGATAAATAAATGTATAAAGATTGCCTTCTCTCTGTATTGCAGTTATGGGAGTGCTGACCTCTGTGCACACCATGTTACCATAGTGGCTCATCTGGTGAGTGGAGTTACAAAGCCTGGAATATCCACTTTTACACAGAAGTTCTCTGGGGTGTGGTAATTGTAAAGAATGACTGTTAAAGGTGAAATAGCATGGTAACTAAATTGTTTTGATAATTGCTTTTGTCTGCATTAATGCTAATATTGAGAAAGATTACTAGAAACAAGGTAAAACTGAGGAACAGTTTCATAGTTCCAAAGTTTTTTAGGGTTCCATTAGTATGTTCTTATTGGAAAGACTAACTTAATTGTGAACAAGCTTGAAATATAATGTATGGTAGAAATAATTGTCAGTGACAATATTGTTAACCAAGACTTTATATTGCTTTCTCTCATTTTATTATGACTTAGCTTACTCTTGATTTTGTTTTATATTTTCAGTGAGGATGACTTGAGAGGGACTAAATTTGCCAGTAATGAGTGTCTTTTGGGAGAAGTGAAAGGGTACAAATTAAAAAAGGATTTAATGATGGTTTTAATCTTTTCATTGACCTTTTGCTTTTAAATTTGAGATGGTTTAATGTGCCCCATAGCAGATGATCATGGCATGTTTGTTTTTTGACCCTAGCCTTTGATATCTCTTAATATCTCTTATCTCTTATGAGGGTGCATGTGTCTTTGGTTTCCTAGAGGAGCTATTGTGTCCATGTATATACTGTATTCCTACTATTTGTAGTATGGACTTATACATACTCTTTAAGTCCGGTGTAGTGCAGTGCAGCTGGCTTCATGCTATTTGGAGTACTAACCCACTTACATTCCACAAAACAGATAAAAGGTGGTTTTATGTTATGTGTTTAATGTCCCCTGTACATAAAAGCTTTCCTTTAAATAAAGGCTCTGATGGTTCATTATAATAGGAATCGAATTTCCAGAATATTGGCTTAATAAAATCTCATTGAGTATTTAATTTTTTACTGTTAAATCTACCTCTATATTGTTGTGCTTTAAAGATTCCATAACTTATCTTTGAGTTGGTATAGTAAATATCAAATCAAAATAGAAACTAGAAGTAGAAATTCTAAAGTGATGTTTTTAAGTATAACATCAAAATTGTTTTATTATAAAATTAATCTAGGTTCATGAAAGAAAAAGCTTAAAATTTAAAAATATCTTTCAGGAAGAACCATTGTTAATAATTTTTTATATAAAAGCTTAAAATAACTGATTTTAAATTAACAAATCTTACCTTTCTCTCCTGTCTTCCCAGATAAAGTCTTGCCCTGGGGAATGTTATCAGCTCACCAACCTGTCAATACTACTGAGGCGTCTCTTCTTCTTCATGACTCCACCCCAACAGGCAAGGATATCATCTTTGTTATGTCTTCCAGCAGTAGCTGAGAGTGGCATCTAGACTCTCATGTGGACCTTCTCTCCTGTCCCATTCCTTGCCATTTTATGTATTATTGTTGACAAGATCTAAGCATGGATTTTCAATATATTTAATGTGCTTACAACTTTTTGCTGGGTTTAGATTTTGGTACTGTTAAGAAAAACCAGAATGCCCTATGTAAAGTAGTTTAAACTGTAAAGACAAATTTTGTTAAGGAACTACTCAATAAAGAAGTGTTCTTAGTGTAGAACTGGGCTCAATTATAAAATCCGCATGGACAGATAGATAGATAGCCAAAGGGCAAGGTGGAAGAGTGAATAACAATTACTCAAGAGTTAAGAGTATGATTCTGGCTAAATTGAGTCATGACATTCTTGCTAAGTATAGACAAGACTGGGGAAACTTCTCAAAACTGACTTAGGATTCTTGCTAAAACTGGACTTGAAACCTAAGAGTGAAAGGTCCTTAAGAAGAGGGCTCAGAAGCACCTCTCTCTCAAGTTTGGCCAAGGAGAGAGTTCTTGTGAATGTCTTCACTGCGAGCTATAGTCAGTGTTCTTTTCTGGAAATATATATTGCTTCTCATACAGTTAAGATGTAAAGACATGGCCCCATCTTCCTTGCCCCTTTAACTTATTTTGAAGAGCTAGGTTTTTATTTATGCCCTTAATGGTGTCTCTTATTTATCAAACAATTTGATCTTCTAGGGGAAAATTAAAATAACGAGCCTTCTTTTCTTACTATTGTGAGGAAAACAGGCGCTGCCATGATAGAGGCTCCAGTACCGAGACCTTGGTAGCACGATGCATTCCCTTGATTGGTCACATGGAGCTCCTGGTGCTTTCCAAAAGTACAGGTTCCTTGACTAACTCATAAAGAGAGTGGTGGCTGTACTGTGAGACTTGGTAGTTTTTGTCACTTGGTAAATTTCTATATGATTTTGACAGGGAGCCAACCTTGGAAACCACTAGATTGGTGAAGGGGTTCTTGACAAATTCCTTGGTCCTTAGACCTTGATTTGAATCCTAACTTTCTGGGACCTTGGGCAAGTCATCCTTCCTGATTTGCCTACAAAGTGGCAGATATGTATTACTATTTGGAAAGATTTTTAAGAACTGAGAAATAATATATGTGAAACACTTAGGACAGTTCCAGGCTTAGAGGGATGCTCAATACGTCCTAGGAGTCTTCCTGATTAGGGTCTTAACCGCAAGCACCCATGTCTGCTTCCCTGCCTTGAGAGGTTGTCCAGGTACCAAAGGAACCTCACTAACCTTCTGTCTTCTTCCTTTAAGGTATCTTTAAGCTGTAAAGCTTCCTATTTAGCCCTTTTCCTTTTTTCTTCAGACGTGATCCTCTTTCTTAAAGGAAGTCAAAAGGAACTTTCTATGCTTTTTGAGACTGTAGTATGTGCAAGGCTTTGTATCAGGCACTTTAACTCATTTAGTTCCACAGTAGCCTTGTCGGATAGAGAAGTTCATGTTTTACAGGTCAGTAGTAACTGAGGAAAATAACTTCCCCAGACTTGCCACGATAAATGACTGAGCTAGGATTCAAACCTGACCAGATTCTAAAACCTGTGTTCCTGCACTGCTTCATGTTCTTCCTGCAGCTGTCCTGAGAGCCTCTTTACTTTGTCGTGTGTTGACTCTGCCTTCCTATCCACTTTAGCCATGGGAACTCTACTGTTAACTGTTTTTACATGTAAAACTTTCTCATAAATTTTAATAGTATTTTGTTGCATAAAGTCAGAAACTTTGAAACCACTGTACTATATACCATGACATCTCAAGAAACAATCTATTAGAAATTACGATTATAAAACAAACTCTAATAAAAGGTGGTGCATGATTGTGCCAATACCGAGGCACAAATCAGACTTGTTGGGTGTTCGTAGGTTAGAGATCGCTTCTGGGAGGTGCTGTGGGAAAAGGAGTGGTGGAAGCTGATGGTATTTGAGATGTTAAAGGACCCCCTGAGTAGGAGGAGGGGAGTTATCTTAATGAAGGAGAAGGTTTAATGTGCCTTCTTGCACTAACAGTTGAACTACCATTTTTAAAAAGTAAAAATTACTATTGCATTTTAAGCCCATTGGTGTATTTTTTCCTCTCAGTTTTAAGGAGGAATGTCGTCTCTGTATATTCTGTCATATTTCACTCCTTTTGAGTTGCTGTGAGTAGTAGAGTTTAAATCTTTAAAATTGCATTGATACCAGGATTTTCAAACTCGAGTGTAAGTAAAATGCTTCTTTGTAACAAATCTGGCAACCATTATCCTTTTATGTGGCCCAAGGCATATTGTTTTTGTTTTTGCATGGGAACCAATTCATTCACTCATTGGATTTTATTATAAAGAAAGGTGATGTTGAACTACAATTTATCAATTAGCACAATTCTCTTGGCTTTCGTGATATAGTTTGGCTTGACAAATAAAGTGGCTTCTATAATAGTATAGTTCAGCAAAGGCCCTACTTTTTTTACTTTAGCAGCTAACCCAGAAAATGGCCATGTGATTTTGCCCTTATTTTGACAGCTAAATATTTTCTGTAATGTAAAATTCAAATATAAATACACTATATAACAGTATCATTTCTGTCAAACTTAATATTATATATATTTTGATGGAAAAGTTTTCATTCAACAGGTAGATTTTGGACAATGTAAACTGCATTTTTCTGCTCCTTAAATTATTTCCTAATTGGAATATACTTATTTAGCTATAAGTACATGATGGCTTCCACAAGAAAACTTTTAACTTTTTTTTTCTTTTATATATTAATGCTCAGTTTAACTGAGCAGTTACCATTTTGTGTGTGTGTGTTAACCTGACACACTTTGAACTGTTCCTCTCAGTGGCAGGATGTATTTGCCAATTTGCCCACCACACTGTTCTGGACTTGTGCAGTACTCTTCTGAAACTAATTTCAAATGTAGCCTACTGGAAAACTGAACCTGGGACATTTGCTTTTCAGTCCTATTGATGGCTTAGATAATAGCCACAGAAGTTGACTGACTCACTCTTTTTGGCTTATTTTGGAACATTACTTTTGACTTAACTGTACAAGGTAAAGAGCACACAAATGCTGGGACGATGATAGACTTTTTGTGTGAAAGCATGATAAAATATCTGATAAGACTAGCGTTCTTAGTGCATTTGTATATGCTCTATTTAAATTGTCTTTCATTTTGGAAACATTTAAGAATAAGAAAACTTCATGCTCGCTTGTGTTCCTTTTTAAACAATATTACATAAATGTGGGAACTATTAGCTTTTGTGCATTCTTCAGACTTAATTACTCTTGCTTTTTAAATAATTTATTTCAGGTGGAGTTTATCCAGAAATTTTCCCCAGAAGAAGAGGAAAATTTGTTTCTGTGGCAATATATTTCCTTCCAGGCATTACCTGCGGAGCTCAGGAAACAGGCTGCACTCGAGGTCTTCAGAACAGGCACTGCACAATGCAGGGGGTGGCTGAGCGGCCACCACACTGTGGGAGAACTGGAGTCTCTGGTAAGGCAATGATTTTGAGTGACTTATGTTCATTCAGTGACTGTTTATTGAGCACTGTCTTAGCACCTGGGTTGGCTTGGTAGTATACTGGACACAGTTTCTGCCTGCAGATTATTAGAGCCTAAGAGTATTTCATATTTCTATACTGTAAAAGTATCTATGAAGAACTACAATTATCTTGATGTAAATTGTGTAAGGGTGGCTTTATAGTTCAAGATACATGGGAATAAAGTGAAACATACTATGAAGCCCTTTACTTGCAGTTTTTTTCATGCTATAGCTGGATGAAGAGCAGACATTGACAAAATCTCCATTTTTTGCAAAACTACTCTGAGCCTTTTTATACCTCCTTATTTAGGATGTTTTCTCTTAAAATAATGGGATTAAAGGAAACTCAAAAGAAATATAACTTGAGATTTTAAAAAATGGAATATAGTATATGTAGCTGAATTTTCGTTTTATTATATTCACTTGCTTATTGATTCATTCAACAAATATATTTTGAATGTTGTTAAGTGCCAAATTCTGTTCTAGGAGTTGGAGATTTGTAAATCCAGGATCAAAAACAAGCAAAAGTTCCTAATTTCATGGACTTTGCTGTGGATAGTAAAATAATATATCATTTTGGATAAGTGGAGAGAAATCAAGCAAGGGTGGGGACAGGACATTCAAGGGATTGTATAGTTAATTTTGAATTCAGGGTCTTTTCAGGGCATGTATCTCTATACTGAGAATATGAATTCTGATACTTTGGTATGTAATGGCATCTGGCACAATTAGTTTTCTTATGCCTTTATTTTGGGAAAACTATTAAATACCTTGTTGGGTAGGTTAAACTGCTCAGGCATTGCTTTTTTTAAAAAAAAATATTTATGCATATAAGAACTGGGGTACAGGCCAGAGGTATATGGGGGTGAGAGGATTCACCAGAGACAAGGTGGGGAGCACAACAGGCGGATCAACTGAAATACTGTTGAGGGCAGAGTGGGCAAGACAGGAGAGGTCAGCTCCCCAGCCAGGGATCGAACTGGTGCTGGAGTGGCTGCGATAGCTTCACAATGCTGTGCTTTAACCTGTTGCACCACCACCGAGGGCCAGGCATTGCATTTTTGTCCTTTTATGGGCACAGTAAAGCATTTATTTTCTTAAATAAATTCTTATCTAAGACCAAAACTTCATCTTGGGAGGTCATTCAAGATGCTTATTTGAGAAAGGAAATGAGTAAATCTTAAAAGATGTGTGGTAATTATATAAAGTTAAGTGTGCTTATTTAACTTAATGAATTAAAGGCACTATTATTATTGATCATTACATTCTCACATGGCCTTCACATTACACCTCAGCTAACCCCATTCTTGGGCAGAGATTAGAGTAAATCCAGAGATTAGTTTCAAATTCTAATTCTCAAGCTTATATGTGCTTATTGACTGCAGTTTTCTTGAGAAATTTTAAAGATATAAAACTATTAGAAATTTAATAAGTTAAAAAAACTGCTTGGTCCATAATGTAAATAGAATTTTTAGTTGATGAATATTATAAGTCAGCTTGGCCATACTGACCACTTATAAATTAAAGTGCAATGCCGTTTAAATCTGTCTTATTTTCTATCTGAAAGTGAAAAAGATTTGTTCAGAAAAATGAAGCAGATGTTCCTGGGTGTAAGAAAAAAATAGTTTCATTACAATATACTGCACTAAACGAATAGCTGAAAAGATTACTGTGGGTATTAGCAATATACTCTTATCTGGGTAAGAGTTATTAGTAACAACGCGAGGTAGTGGGGCTCTTGCTCTGTTAGACGAGTGTATAAACTCAGGTCCTTGCCTTCATCTCTCCCTCTTAGAACTCTGTACTCTCTGCTCTGCTGGCTATGTATAATTCTGCTGGTGACACTCTGGATAGTGGACAACAAACTGCAGTTATGGAGGTTGGAAGCCAGCTTTGGGCCTTTTTGAACATTAAACTGGTAAGGAAAGCACTGATCATCTCTCAAGAACAAACAAATATTGAGAAAGGAAAAATATTGAAATTTCTCTTTTGAGTAAAATATCTTTAGGTGCTTGTGACTTATTTAGAACTTGTGATTGGAACTCTGTACTGTCAGCCAGTTCTTTGTAAGAATGTGATAGTTATATTAGTGGCTAGTAAAATGACAGAGACATTCATTGTATTTTCAGGACCAGTTAGACGCTGTTTGAAAAATCTCTTCCCTGCTTACTCCTCTTGGATTACGTCCTGCTCCTATAATTTTTGAGGTAGCAGGGGCAGGTGATTTTTGTATTCCTCTTTCTCAGCAAAGCCAAAGACCAAATGCTGGTTGAGCTAGACTTAGAATGATGTGTCTGTCAAGCTAGATTTGTCAATTAATGGTAGTTTTAAATGATATGTTTTAAAAATCTAAATATCACATTTGTTTTCTTTGACAAAACAGAAGTGTAAGGCCTAGTTATACCAGCCAGTGAAAGCTAATGGCAGCATTCACACTTCTGGAAACTAACAGAAGTGGTTTGCAGTTACTGTTTTATCATTAAATTTCACATATGACAGATTACTCTATTGCAGTGCTTTCCCCTGGTATCACAAATCATATATTCATTGGGGATCTCTCCTGGGGAATACAACTTACAATATGGTGGAAACAATTATAGAGAAGAGAAATGGAATTTCAAGAACACAAAGGAACATACAAGCTTTTCAGTGGCAGACAAAAGTAATTAGATTTCTATGTGAGTTAAGTGTGCCTTTGAACTATGGCTCTGCTTTTTTCTGACTACATGATCTAGAGAAAATAAGAAAAAGGGGCAGCAAGGCTAAGTGATGGCAATGAGATCTAACTATTATATCAGTTGTTTAAGGTAAGATAAGTAGAAAGTCCTAGTCCACTCCCATTATATAATAATGCTCATTAGAAGGTTGCTAGTCTCATGTCATTTAAAATTTTCTCAAATTACTTTGTTTCTTATTTAAGGTAACAAGTCAACCTTGTGTTCAGCAGACACTCAGCCTTTTACTTATGCTGTTGGGATTTTTCATTCAAATGCTGGATCCTCAGCTGATAAATCAGGTAAGAAATAGTGAGCAAGTTGATACTTTGTTGAGGATGTTGTTAAACTTATATGGCTTAAAATAACTTTCTAGAAATGGTTTTTAAATGACTTATTGCCAAGTTTGTTCATTATCGTTTTTTTACTAAAAATGAACATCACAGATTCACTTACTATCCAAGGATGTCTCCTCCCTTCTAGCAGAATGTGATTAGTGTAACTGGCTGGAAATTCAGCCTTTCTCTGTTCTTTCTAACCTCCCTGGTACTGAGCCATCAAATCTTGTTTATTATGTTAGCTGCTAAAGAAATGATTCTGGAGGTTAGGGTCATGGTTCATATGCTGAACCTATAGTTACAGCAGATTAAAAGGTATCTAAGCAACTCTGAGTATGTGGACCAAAATGGATTTACAGATAATGCTTTTTTTTTGGGGGGGGGGATAAAATAAAATGGTTTTGATCCAACTACTGAGTTTTCCTTCTGACCCCCAGCATATATGGGGTGGGGCGGAGCTGGATTCTGTCCAGAGGCTTTTTTTATGATGTTAAAAAAGGAGGTTTGTGGCTCCCCGTTTGGAAGTTCTAAGCTCTTGTCTGAGGTAATTTTGAAGCCTTGTAGTGGGTTCTTGCCTTGATTTCCAAAATAAAGAGTTGGCTTAAGTTTATGGTCACGTAAACACACAAGCTGTTAGGATGTAAAACTAGCTCTTTTTAGATGGAAGAAGTCACAGTACATGGTGGTGGGAAGTGAAACTACTAATACCTTGTTTTCAGTAGTCCTGGTTTGTGGTTATAAGTTAGCATTAACAATATTAATTATACTTTAATCACTACGTGGACTTTTAAATTAGAGAATGAGAATACTGCAAATAATTGGAAGTTATATGAAGGCAACACTTTAAATGGAAACTAAAGTTGTACGATTTCAATGTAATCATTTAGGAATGGATTCCTCTATAAAAGACTTGGTATCACTGTTCCTGTAAAGTCAGGGGTTGGCAAAATCTGATCTGCCTAAATTCTGTCCTGTTTTCAGCACAGTAACTATGGACAATTTTATAAGTTGTTTATATATGCATGGAGACATGCCTATGTCCCTACAAAGCCTCAAGTATTTACCATCTGGTCAACAGAAAGCTTGTCAATCTCCATTTTAAGTAAGGAACTTGTCATTTATGAAAAATACACATTTTAAAGATTTGAAGAGTGTTATTATATAGTGTTTCAAGAACACAGGGTTTTGCCTTTCCTCTTCTACTACAGTCATGTTTGGTAGGGAGAATACTGTAAAGTGAGCTCAAATCACTTGTGTTCTTTAAATTCTGTGATTTAGGCTTTGTGGAGTACTTAGCTGCTGAGTTTTGACTCCCATTCCCACAAACCCATCAAAATCTCAGGGGTTAAATCTCTTTGTTTCATTTGTAACTGTTTGTGGTGTTCCCCCTATAGGTTATAATTTTGCAGATCTCACTACTTAAGTTGGAGCCTCCAGACTATGTTCGTTTGGCAATGCTGGATTTTCTATCTTCTCTAGGAAAACTTATATTATCTCAAGCTACCCAGGTAATGGCATACTCTTATTAATTTTGTTGTTACCATGTTATAAAAAGCAAAATCTGTTAAAAAGTGACAGGAATTTGCAGGCTTTTAATTTGGGGATTTTCTGTGTAGCATTGACAATGAAAGTTAGTAAAAAACTATTTTGTTGGAGAGATAACAAGGTCTGTATTAGCAAAGTCATCTTCTAGTAAAATCATGTTGACATAGAAGTAAATAAGTTGGCTATAGTCAGAGGTTCTCAGTCTAACTGGGCTTCAGTATACAAAGCTCCTGTGGAGGTTTGAAAACGTAGTTGTCTTACAAGATACAATGTTTAATAAGGCAATCTGGTTACTGAAGTTATTTTTTTATATCTATTATTAAAGCATTCTGGAAAGACAGTATTTTCCAAAATGTTGGAAAGGATATTTACAAGTGTACTGTTATGACCTGGCTGTACACTTTCACTAAATTTTAACACATAACCTATCTCACAGTAAAAGGAGTTCATTCTTTGAGTTCTGTCTATTACCTCCATGGGAGGGAATACGTAAGCTCATCAGTGAAGTATTTCTATATTCAGAACAAAGCCATCATGGACAAAAATTTAACTGGCTGTTTTCTGCAGAACCCTTTCATTTGTTCACAGGTGAATACTACTGTTTTAAAGTTGTTTCATGAGATATTTTATTAGCAAAAATTACATTATGTATTCCAGGAATAAAGTTAAGCCCTGAAGAAATTTTGATGTCGATCAGCATGTAAGGCATTTTAGAGCTCCTGCATGAGATGTATTTATTCAAAGAAAAACTGAATTCTTGTCAGTCATCACAATAGCGATACATGTCATATATTAAGGGGGGTGAAGTGCTTTGGAGAAAAATAAAGCAGTGATGGGAAAGAGAGCCTGTGGATATAAGGGTATGGTTTAAGTGAGCTAGATAGTCAGTGGACTACTCACTGAGGGCACTTGTGAGTAATCTTGAAGCTGAGCAAGCCAGCATGCAGGATTTGGAGTAGCCAACTCAGGGAGTGGGGCTTGGCACGCCACTGTAAGGATTCTGATCTTTTATCTGAGAGAAATGAGAGCAATTGGAAGGATAAGAGCAGTGATCTGGTCTAACATGTGTTCACTGGGAGGAAGTTAGAGAAACTTGCAACATCAAGTAAATTGAATGTGCTCTACTGAGATTTTCCTCTATTTCTCTTTTCAGGACAAAATTCTGCCCAACTTATCTTCTATTTTTGCCTTATTACTAGCTGACAGCAACTGGCTGCTTGAACAACATGCCTTGGAGGCATTTACCCACTTTGCTGAGGTAAGACTAAGCAGTAACAATGATCTCCAGAACATTTTAGATATTCCAAACACATTAATTGAACTCCTTTTATATCTTAGTCATAAAATTTTCTGCTGAAGGCATTACCTACCATTATACACTAAAATGAAGAGCTACAGAGAAATGAACTAATTTTCCTAAGCTTCTGTGGATAGTAACCACCATAAGCATCAAAGCAGATCTAAACTAACTCATGCAGTAATGGATGGTAATCCATTCAATTCATGCTATCACAGGGTCCTTAGGGGGTGCACACAGATTTGTGTTGTCCTGGTGAGGTGGCAGCAACTTGCCTTGCAGTCCTGCTGATACTAAATATTTTTATGGGCCCTCCCCGGTGGCGCATGGGTTAGAGACAGTGCTATGAAGCTATCTCCAGTCACTGCAGTTCAGCTTCTGGTGGGCCAGGGAGGTGACCCACAGGGCACAGACAGTCTTACCTGCTGTTCCCCACAGTGATGTTTCACTACATCTGCCTGTTCTGCTCCCCACTCTCTGGTGATTCCTCTCATCCCCTGCATCTCTAGCCTATACCCCAGTTCTTGCATGCATAAATTAAAGAGTATTTTTAAAAGCAATTTTGAATAAGGGATCTCTTATAACTCGTCTATCTTTGCAGGTTGTTTAAGTATTTAATCTTGTTTGTTAATCTTTTAACAGGGGACAAATCTTGAAGAGATAGTTCCTCAGTGCCTCAGTTCTGAAGAAATTAAGAAGAAAGTTGTAGCCTTTCTGGAGAAGGTATTTCATTTATATAGAATCTATACAGTAGTTAACCAACAATTTACATTTTTCACAGTGCTCAGCAAAGTGGTGAAACATGTTATTAGTGAGCATTTGGGACTCCATTTGAAGTCTCAGGTGTAAAGCTGCTCAGCCTGTAGTTTGGCGCTGATAAACTCAGGCAGTGGGATGACTGAGCATCTCATTCAGTAGATAATTAAGTCTGTGCGTGTATATTGCTTTCACCAACTTTCATTTTGTAAAGGTTAGCAGGCTATCAGTTCTGAAAAGATGAAACTTTTCTGCTGGGAAAGAACAGAGTTTGCCCAAATTACAATTAACAATGAGTCCACCTTGCTTACAGGCTAAACCAGAATTGTTTTGCACTTAGACATTCTATTTGTGACCCAGAAGAGAAGGCTGGCGTGTGGAAGCTCACTCATCTTTTCATGCTCTTTGCAGACTGGCTTTGTCGATGAAACTGCAACTGCTAAAATGGAACGTGTGAAACAAGAAAGGGGTATTTTCTTGGTGCCCCTGGCTAAAGTTACTGAAGAAGCAGTAAAATGGTCATCTTTACAGGTATGAATTAGAAACTAATAAACAGTCACATTTCTTTTCTCCCTGAAAAGTTGTCAACCCATTAAGAAGATGGCATTACTATTTAACAATTGTTTGTAGTAACCTTGGGTTAGAAGTTATGTATTTATGCCAGTGATGCTGCAAATACAGAAGAAAACCAGTTAACTTACCTTCCAGATGTTTTCTCTAGTCCCTTGTGTAATTATTAAGCCAGTAGCTTGCGTTATTTTGTCTAAAGTTCAGAAGCAGTCCACCACCACTAAGGATACTCAGAATGTTTTGAACACCAATTTGGTGTTAATTATAACTTATGTACATTTAAACATATTAGTAACTTTTATGCTTGAAACTTATAATTTTATCAGTAGGATAAATGAGCAATTAAGAATTATGACCCTTTAAAAACAGTGATTATAAAAGGCATCTTGGCCCCTTTGCCTCCCAGTGCAATGTTAGAGAGCCTGACAGTTTACTGTACTGGCTTCCAAATCAAAGACGTTAAGTCTCGTCAAGTTATTAAAAAGGAAACTGGATGCATTTAGGAAATTCACACAAGAGTCTCATTTTCTTTAAGGGAAGGTTATATACTTAAAAGAATACTCACTAGAAATTACTTGATCAGGCAGCAATTCTTAGCTTCCTTGGGCCATAATGGTGGCACCTAAGTCATTGTGACAAAGCAAAAATGTGTTCACATATTTTATAAGGTGCCCTTGTGAGGTGATGGCTGAAAGAAAATTTACATATTAAACTTGTTTTTACAAGAAAGTGCTCAGTTTTTAGAATGGGTATCATGTCATTACTTATCACACTTCTCCCCTTTGCCAGCCTCATGCCAAAAAAGCCCGCCACACATTCCCATTGGAAGAAGAGTACAGGTCAGCACTGCAAGCGGCCACAGGGGCCTTGGCGGCCATTGAGGTGCTGGTCCTCAAGTCTCCTGCTCCAGACTGGCTCCTGCTGGAAATGGAGGCACTCCAAGAAAGGATGGAGAAGCTTAAACGTGTTGTGCTGCAGGGTAAAACTTGAATGGACCCCATCACTAGAAGTGGGTATGATTTTTGCCGTAAATTTTTTTTTGTAATTGATGTAATTATGGCTGCACATCTTCAACACATAAAACAACTTTTGTAAAGTTGAATCTAGTTAAAATAGCCTTTATTGGACATTCAGAGAACAGGATTGTGGGGGTATTTCTCATTAAGAACTTTGGTACAACATAATATATGGAACAGTCAGTAACTGCTCAGGTCCCAACAGGGCCATTCACTCCAGACAGTACAACTGTAAACAAATAAATAAGCTGCCCGGGAAACCACAGCAATTTTAAGTCTTTTATATATACTTTATAGCTAAAATTTTTCAGGAAGTTATATTTCATAATAGACCTTACTTTGAGTGTTAAAGAAATGGCACAAAATTAAGCTAATCAGCTTGAATTTTTGTATTTATTTTCTCTACTTCTGGAATTGTCCTGAAAAAAGCAGTATATCCAGCCTTTCTGCAGCCACTTGGTCTCCGGAGACCCAGCGAAAGGCAGGCGCCTCCATGCCCTGTCCGGGGCCTTGGCAGGCATCCGAGGGCTCATGCTGCAGTTGGCACAGACTGGAAAAGGAGCTCCCACAGGAAAACAGGATGCCTTGGGGTTTTCTTGTCTGCAGAGCCTGCTTTTGAGGTATTAGTTTGACATTTTTTATAGGAATCCTTTTTCCTAAGATTTATTCACACCTGTTGTCACCAGTTAGTATCTTCCCAGTTGAGCTCCCCTTCTTCTCCCCAGCCTCCAGAGTCTCCCTGCAACAAGAAAAAGTGAGAGCTAGAGAAGTCCTCGTAGCCTCATTTGAAAAACCAGAAATTTTTAAAAAGGGAATACTGGTCTTTTTGATGCCAGAATATATTTCTTTGTGCTAAGTAAAAAATAAACTGGAAGCTGAAAAATAAGATTACTGTAACAGAAAATCACTTTATAAGACCTACATAGTCCAATAATCATTCTATTGGCACCATATTCTTTGTTGGAAAGAAAGTATGTTAATGTAACAAGTGATCTTTTAAATGCTTAGCCCTAAGCATCACACTACATTTTTCTGGAGAAGGAAAACTTTTCTAGGAACTGGATCATAACAAATTGTGTCCAGTAGTCTCTCCCTGAATGGGAAATCCATATGGTAATAGCGCAATTTAATAATGCTTACCTCAGTCATTTCTACTGCAGCAAATTTTGAGGAGAACTGCATCACTGGTGAGATGTCATCCTTGTTGGGAACCATCATTTCTGTCCTCAGTTCAGGTAAAATAATAATAGCAGTGGAAGGCTTAATTTCTGGGATCATGTCAGCAAACCAGTCCATTTCAGGGTCTTGTACTGGCTTCTTTCTTACTTGAATGGTAAATTCCTCTCCTAAACCGAGTTCTGATGGCGCTTTAAGGTGCCTTTCTTGTGACAATACTTTTGTAGGCTTGGTTTTGTCTGGGTCATCCTCACTTGGTACAAGACTAGTCTTTTGGGGTGGGCTTGATTGCTGGGACTCTTGGGTGAGTGGAAGCAGAGCAGGAATAGCCTTTTGCTCCCCTGAGGTAACAGGTCTTACAGCACTGATGCCATCTAAGCTGTTGGACTCAAAGTCGTCCCAAGTTGTCTCCTCTGCAGTGTGGGTAGGGAGTGGGGGCTTGGCAGTATCAGGTTCTGTTGGCCAAACCTGTAAGCTGACAGTTTTGTTTTCAGGCTCTTCAGGCTCGTTCCAGTCAGGCCATTCCTCAGACCTTTTAGAGCATAATGGAAAGTTTTCACTGTCTCCTGAGGTATTTTTCACATCTGATATTCCATTCATGGGAAATTTAATAGGATGAGAAAATTGATTTCCTGAAGGGGTGACATACGAGAATTATTGTCATGAAATGTATTTAGGGAAAGGTTAACTAGTAAGAAATATACAGGTCTAACTTCTTAGAAATAAATATCTAGTGTACTATATAAACTAGAGATCACAAAGGTGTGTGTAAATCTTCCAAATATTTAAAATTGTGATTGATAGAATCAAGTGGGGAAATCTAGTCCTTTACTAAATATTCAAACACTGTTTATCGGCATTAACTACCTACAAAATAATGAATACCCAGAAAAAGTGGTGTGCTCATATCAGTTTGCTGAGCCAACAAAAGCTCATTTTAAACAGTTTTCCCTAAGTGCAGTCAGAACACATCTGCCAGAACTTACCCACTACCATTTTTTGGAAGTGCCAAAACAAAGTATCTGAGATAGAAAGGAATTCAAGTAATGTCGACTTGCTCTTTTCACCAGTTATAAAGGGAACAGGGGTGAAACTGCCTACATAGTTGGTTGTAAGTCAGCCTAGAGTTCAAATGCCTTTAATTTTCAGAATCAAACATTACTCAGGAACACATTCATCCAAACAGTGGAAAAGCTATATACATGTAATAATTCTACCTGTGCGTGAAAGCGTACTGTAGCAGTCTTGCTCTATGTGCTGCTCGCGGTTGAAGGGCATGTTGCCAGAAGAGAAACACTGAGGGAATAAGCTAGAGGAGGGGCTCTCCGGGCTGGGCAGGGTCTGACCATGCTGGCTGCAGATGGCACGCAAGAGATAGTCTGGAGGTACAGTAATGAAAGGGGCAGTTAAGTTGCTTCTTGCTGTCAGATGGTAGGTGAGAAGTAGTTTATATAATAGATAAAGATTCTGAATTTCAGGGAGAGAAGCTCTCCATGTATTTGAAAAAAGATTCAGGTTATATTAACACGGAGTGGGTACAGGTGAGCCTTAAGAACACTTGACATAAAAGTTAGCAGCCTGGCCCTCCCTGGTGGCGCAGCGGGTTAAAGCACTACACTGAGAATCTAAAGCCGCTTCCGCATGAGTTCAATTCCCCTCTGCCCCGGAGGCGACCACATGGCGTGGCAGACCTCTCCTGACCCGCCCGCTGCTCCCCTCAGCAGTGTACTTGGTGGATCTGCCTGTTCTGTTCCCCACTCTGTCTCTGGTGAAACCTCTTGCCACCCCTGAGCCTCTGGCCTGTATGCACAAATAAATAAATCTTAAAAAAAAGTTAGCAGCCTTTAAAACATTTCAGTGGTGATTTAAGAACACAAATGTGAATGTACTTAGGGTCACTGTATACTTTAAATATCTATAAAATATACCATTTTAACAATTTTTAACTTCCAACTGAGAGATAGTTCTAAGAAATGTCTTCAGTTTACAAGAATGTACATAATCAAGAGCAGGCACTGACCAAAAGAACAGCTCCTGTCCTTCACTATGGAGGTGGCCGAGGTACAGCACTCACCCTGAGCCACGGTCTCTGCACACCACCTCCTTGCTGCTTTACTTTTGCTATTCTCGGTGAAGGCTACTTTTTCAGTGTGCCAGTGAATCTTCTAAATTGTCTTTTCCAACTCTCCCTTTAGGCAGACTTACTTCCCTTAGTCACACGCCTCTATTAGTCGTTTTAAGTCCGACCATGAACAAAGAAGGGTCACTCTTGACTAAAAACTTGGACTGTGGACTCAGCCAGTGCTCACCAGCCATCTGTCATGAGTCTGACTTAGCAAGTCAGTGGGGTTAGACCCTGATCTGTGCTCTTACAAAACTGTCAGGAAAATAGCATCACCTGATGCTTTTTTGGTTTCTTATTAAAATCACAGAATAATCCAGGTAGGCCATATATAAAATATCTAGAAGTAGCTATTCTATCCAATAAAATCAGGTGTTTGGACATGCAAAGCTGTCCCCAGACTCTTAAGCTATGTGCTCTTCCATGTCCCTCTTCAAAAGCTCCTTGGAACCGCATGCTCAAAACTCCAGGAAGCCAGTGCTGCTTTCAAAATTAACTTGGCAGTAAAATTAGAGAAAAGTGTTTTTCTAATAAACTTTTCTCCTGCTATTCACGATTATACAAAGCAAAAGCAGGAGTGGTATAAATATTAAAACTGATAAAATATTACTATAGTCAGAAATTATTGCTACTTTCTAGTACCATCTAGAACACCATATTTCTTGAAATACCTAACAGTTTTCATCTAATAGGCCAATAGGAATCAATCTAGTGTTAAGAATTACCTCTTTGGAAACTAATATTCTTTAGCTGAAATACACAAGGCCACTAGTGGCTAAAAATCCAGAATTGAGGCATCACAGATAAGTTAGGCCTGTGACCTAAGGCAGCTGTCTAAACAGGTGTGCTTCATTCTGGGGACAAGGTGCCATGGGAGAAAGCAAGTCGCAGCGCTCTGTTGTGTAGTATTTTCTCTCCATTTAAAGAAAGTCCTATGCATGTGTAAAATCTACACCCTTGGGGCTTTCTGTGGGTTCAAGAAAGGGATGAAAGGATTCCCACTAAAGTATAAAGCTGGTAACTTACAACCCCAGAAGGAGCAAGGCTTGTTTTCTGTATCTTTTGACTGAATACAGCTCTGTATTACTTATATAATACCAAATAATTAAACAATACTTACACTAAAAAGCTAGGTGTTGTCACTATTCTTACCTTCTGGGGAAAGGTCAACAGTTTTAGTGAAACTTGGAGCAGTGCGTTTGAAGATCTTGGTTCTTTCTCCTCCCACAACTACTTCTGGTCCAAGTAGAGAGACCAGCACTGCCAGGCTGTGAAGAGTAATTGCCACAATGGAATCGCTGGTATCACGCAGGCCCAGTAACACCTAGAAGTAAGTCAAGAAGTTAAACCACCACACTGCCTGTCTTTCCTCTCCTGTAAACAGCTGTTGCCATTAAACTGTGCATGCTCACATGAATTCATGTTTTAGAACTGTGTCCTATGCAGTGGTTCTAACTATTGTCAAATGCCAATGTTCTCCCTCCCTATTCATCATGAAAGCTTGACAAATTAAATCAACAAATACACTAGATGTAATATAAAATTCCTCTATACCGTATTGCTTTAAAAGGTTTCAATGTAAACCCCCTGTCTGCACTCAAAGGACCAGGCACACAGCACACTCAGGCCCACTCTCCAGGTCCCAACATCACCTGGGCAGTCCTGCCCTCTTCTCAAGTCTACTCATTAGGACAGGACCTTGGGAATGTTCTTTATATTTGTTTCATGTAACACCTGCCCCAAACTGAGCCAAGGAATCACTGGAATTTGGTGAGACTGGTTCTCTGGTTTGCCTACACTCAGGATAGTAAACTTGGAAGCTGTGAACAACCACATGTACCCACCAAACAATGAAAGCTGGTTCAAAAATGGAACAGGTGCAGAGGAAAGGGATGCATGGCCGTGAGTCCCTTTTACAGACATCTTTTTTAGTTCATTTAAGTGGGTTCCAGTTACTGGCCACTGAAAGAAATTGGCGAAGATCTGAAACATCATCTGCATTAGTCAGATGTAAGGGGAGAGAGCAGGGCACTGCAGGTGTCAAGAATCCCAGGTTCTGGTCCCAGCCCTGCTGGGAGTTCTCATTTCAACCTACTAAGTAATCTTTATTTGTCTTGTCCAGTTTCCTCATTATCTAAAACCAAGGTGCTAACAAACCAGGCCTGTCAAGACAACACTGCAAGTGACTGATTTAAATTCTACCACCGCCAACTCAGAAATCCAGTTTCACCCTCAAACCACTGGCATCTAGTGAGAAACTGAGTCCCGTCTCTTCACCCTCCATAAAACCTTCTTGCATAACCATGGCCACATTTCCCCCAGCCTTGTCATCTCTTCGCTGCAGTTTTCTAACTGAATCTTAACTGATCTTCCTTCCTACAATCCATTCACTCTGCTGCTAAGTGAACTTTCTAGCACATGAAAACTCACCGAGTTTTTTCTCTACAGGGGAAATCATGCCAGAGAGCTTTCACAGCCTTCCACATACTCAGACCATAATTTTTTTACCTCACCTCAGTGCCAATTGAGATCTCTGATGACAGCTATTGCTGAGTGAGAGGGCTTTTTTTCCTTCCAGATTTTCAGGTACAGCTACACTGAGTGCTCAGAGGTAGAGTGCAAGTGAGGTTCTGTGGTCAGCCTGAGTGATCTGCCCAGCAGTAAACTTGGCTGATTTACTTTAACCAAGAGAATGTGACAGAAGTGATACTTTCAGTTCCCAACTTTCAGATGGCTGCTCTGGCAGTTCTGGTAACCCTGCAGGAAGGCTAGAGAAATCAATGTGGGCATGTCCTTCAGGGTTTTTTGGGCCCTGCACGCGCACACACACACACCCCCCAACCACCACCGCCACCAAGGACATTTCAGCCATGGGGGGCGGGCAGTTATTAGCTGCCTCCATATTGAACCCATCTGATCCACATCATCTAGAGTGGTTAGTTATACTCAACAGATAATGAAACTTCTACTTTTTCCACTGTCTCCTTGGAAATGGAGAATGTTACTTACCTCTGCCCCAGTAACTACATAAAAGACCTGGCATAAAACCAGGCTTTACATTCCTTTCATTGGAAAGCCATTTTGAAAGATACCATGTGACTGATAACAGCTTTTAAAATCTTACACTGAGTTGAAGACTGGGCCCTAAATCCAGTGACTTGTGTTCTCACAAAGAGACATCGGAAAAGGCCTGAGACAACAATGGAGATTTTAGTTGCACAGCTATAGGCAAGAAACACCTAGCTACCGTAAGCAAGTCTCCCCAGGGCCGGCCTTCGGTGGTCCTGCTGACACCATCAGTTTGAACTTTTCCCAAAGTTTGAAGTCATACTAGCCTGTGGTTACTTGTTGCATCAGCCACAGAAAAAAATAGATAAACCTAAAGCCCTCAGGTGGCAAACCATAACAAAACTCCCCCTGAAGGCTAAAAAGCAGGTTGAAAACCAATCTGTGTTACTAAGTGTATGTCCCTTCAAGTTCACAGTAATTATGAACACTCTTAGTTTATGTTGTACACACGGAATGACTTGTTCTTTCTCTAAATACTTAAAACAGTATTATACTTTCTCTCAGGTTAAGACCAAATATGTTCATTTGATTGCTCTGTGCGAATGGAATTACAGCAGCTTTTTAGACAAACCTGCTGCTTCCATAGTTTCTAAGCTCATCTTTGAATGGCCCCCAATCTGCCCACTCTCCCATGGGCCCCCTCCTCTCCTCGCCCTCCTTTGCCTGGCCTATTGCCTCTTACCTGAGGCAAGATGACTTTCTTCAGCTGCTCCTGCGAGAAGTGGCCCACGTAGGCCTCCAGGTGGGACAGCAGCACCATCCGTACATGCTCCTCGTGGACCTCGAACAGCTGCAGCAGCACAGGGATCACTCGCGACTGGAACAGGGCTGGTGAGAGCAGGCAAGGGGTTTCTCCCTGTGCATTGTCTACCCCCCAGGTCAGAGGTGGTTACAGATGGAAAAACAAATTGGTGTTTCAGTAAAAGGAGCACTTGTAACTCACAGAAGTACTCTTCTAAAGTCTTATGACCCAAACCAAAATTTGTTGACCCCAAATTACTTATACTTAGCACACTGTACCTTGTAGGAGTGTTTCTGGAATACTAGATCATATTTAATGTACTACCAAGAAGGCATATGTTTAACAGACAACTGAGTGAATGGCTTTTATACATTAATATTTAATCAGTAAGGAACTTCATACACTAATTAGGTTGATACTGTCTGCAAGTTTATTGCAAAGCCAGGTCATGTTAAACTCTACCACAGAACCTGGAGCTGGAGAGGCCTTCCCACGTCACAGTCAAGGGAGAGTTTATCAAACAGGGATGTGTGCGGCTCATTGGGAACCTGAGAAACACAGACCCCTGCCCTGGCTCTGCCAGACTAGTGGAGAGGCGTCCCTGGGTGGCTCAGGAGTGCACTCCAACCTCAGATCTACTGAATAATGGGATGGAAGAGCAATAAAGGCCAATCTGTGCTCACAGAAATAACATCAAAGTAGAGACAGAAGGACATTCTACACTGTAAACAGTATACCTATAACACTGCTTTGTCGGTTTGAAATCTTCCCAGGAAATAAATTCTTGAAAGCATGAATCTGTGGACCTCAAAATTCCAAAGGATTATATTAGTGCTGTATGCCCTGACCTGGTATGTTACTGCCTGCAGTTGCAAAGCAAAACCCTCATTCCACATTCAGGAAGCTCAAGTAAAATGATCTGTGCTTTTTGATCTTTCTGGTGGAAACAGAAAACAAATGATCACCTTTGGGAAGTCAGGACGTACAGGCCTAATGATTCAGATGCACAAGTTTCCTGAAGATGTGCTCTTACCTCAAATCTGCACATGCATTTCAGGTTCTAGTCTTGTGTGTGTGTTAACTGCAAATCTGACTCCCCAGAAGATGTTCCATATTTATCCCATGGGCTTTGATATCCAGGTTTCATTGGAATTATACCAAGGGTGAAATCACCGTTCTCCCATTTTTAGAATCATACATTAACCTCCCCGTACAATAATCTATCTTCAAATATAGGCTAATAATTCCCAATTACTTAAATACCAGCACTACTTAAAAAAAAAAAAAAAAAATCGGCCCTCTCTGGTGGCGCAGCAGGTTAAAGCACTGCACTAAGCAGCTTAAGCCATGAGTTCAATCCCCGCCTGCCCTGGAGGTGACCACATGGCGAGGCAGATCTCCCCTAGCCCGCCCGCTGCTCCCCTCAGCAGCATCTGCACCCCCTCATCTGCCTGTTCTGTGCCCCACTCTGTCCCTGGTGAATCCTCTCACCCTCCGCGTCTCTGGCCTATACCCCAGTTCTGTATGAATAAACAAATAAAAATCTTTAAAAAAAAAAATCACCTTTTTTAGGGCCAAGCAGATGAGGAAGAAAGCTCTTAACAGCTACTGGCTCTGCAAACACCAACTGATTAAGCAGAAGTGGCACTAACCGAGACGCTATCAATTCTTCTGATAAACAGCTGACTCTGACCAGCAGAAACCTGAGGGCAGAAAAAGAGCCTAGGACACTGTGGTGACACATTATGGACTTCCAAGTTTTCAACCTGTACGACTTCTGCCACTTCCACTAGAGAGATACATTTTGAAATGTAGCTAGGAATGGGACAAGGTTGATGCCTTGTATTGAAACAGCAGAGGGCAAAGGCAAGGCCAGCTCACCATCAGCAGGCGAACAATTGTACATTAGGAAAAGCTTCCACACATCACCTCTTTTAACAGCGGACATGTCCTTTTCCCCTAACAAGTCAGAGGCTTTCTAGTCTTAAAGGGTACTGTCCCAAATGTAGAACACAGGATATTAGAATATCTAAGTTTCCATAGTAAGTAAAATACAGGCTCTTTTTATTAAATTGAAATAGTTAAAATAGTGCGTATACAAGGACTTGATTTAAAAATAGAGATTATATATTAATAGTAATAAGATACCACTCACTATACACATCCTTAACAGTTAATCTTGCTTCCTACTTTACAGGAAACAAGCCAGAACATGCACTGTCTCCTTCAAGCCCTTTGGCCATGAGCGACAAAGTGGTCTATATCTGTTCCCACTCCCATCTCATTTCCCAGCACCAAGAATTTGAGGGCCTCTTACTTAGCCTCCACCCTTCCTGTGTTCTTAGGTGCCCCAGCACCCAATAATGATAGAGACTATCATTTTCAATCTGTATTTTTGCCTTAGCAGAACTGTCTATCCCAGGATTTAGTGGCGAGCCTGACATTTAAGAAATGCTTAATAAACTTGATTAGAGAAACCAAATGTCTTACCCAAGTACCTGAAGTTGTTACATAGACTTAATCCAGTTCACTGAATTTTAAGGTGCAGTGCTAACTTTCTGAACTTACTTGAAGAATTCAGTTTTTTCCTCTTCACTCTTCAATGTTAAACTTTTCAAGAAATTCACCACTTCTAGAAAATCATTCCTAAATGCCAAAAAGGTCAAGAACAAAAACAAAAACAAAAAAAACACAGGACAACAGATTAGAAAAGGTATATTAAATATGGAAGCTGTAGTGTCCCCAGACATGCTATCATCTTCAGCAAAGCAGCATTCCCCTATGCCGGTGAGAAGGCTCCATAAGTTAACAGGCACATTAGAAAATATGGAAAAAATTACAGAGAATTACTATTTTAAGATTACCAGAGATCTGTGAAGATCTCAAACATATGCATAAACTTGCTAACACACGTGGTGGTTTTAATCATCATCCAAACTATTTATTGTAATAGCATATGGTTAAATAAAATAAACTTGGAGCCTCCCAACAGACTGGTATCCCAGCCTGGGCTTCGCAGTGAATTACGCTGTATTAGCAACCACACAGTAAGCACCCCTGACTCTATAGCAGCCACCAGCTCCTCGGGACCAGACAAAAGTCCAAATTGGGGGTTTTCAGGACACAGATTTTCACCTTAGGCCTCCAGCTTTACTGAGAAGTGCACCCCACCAGCACTTAAGCATCACTGCCTCCCAGTGGACAGGTGCCCTAGCCTGGGCCTCACACAACCTTGCTCTACACATCAGGGTCCCTCAGCAACCCCCTGGTAAGCACCCTTGACTCCAGGCTTAGCTATCAACTCTTCAGGAGCAAGCAGGAGCCCCAGTTGTGGTCTTGTAGGACCTAGCTTTCTACTAGCCCTTAGCTGCATGGAGAAGTACACCCCCCATAACTACAAAAAAAAGCAAAGGAGAGCTCCCATTACTTGAAGACTGAATAACAGTCTGAGAGACCGTTAAGTTAATTAATCAAAGAAATAAAAAAATACCTTGAGACATCCAGAATGAATGTGACACAGCAAGAGTAGTATGAAGAGGGGAGAAGTACATAGCAATACAGGTCCACATTAACAGACAAGAATGTATCCAAAGAAACAATTTAATGTCCCATCTTAAAGAACAAAGGGGGGGGAACAATAGAAGGAAATAAAAATTAAAGCAGAAATAAATGAAATATACATTAAAAAAGAATCCAAAAGCTCAACGAAACCAAAAGCTGGTTCTTAGAAAAAATTAAGTAGATAACCTCCAGGCTTATTAAAAAAGAGGGAGAAAACTCAAATAGACTCATAAATGAAATGTATGAGAAATTACAACAGACACAGCAGAAATCCAAATGATAATTAGGTTGTTATAAACATACAAACAAGTTCAACAATCATAGATGAGATGGACAAGCTCCTATAATTATAGTCACCAGTCACCCAATACTGAATAAAGAAATAGAAAACATGAAACCCAACTACAGGCAAGGAAGTTGAAACAGTAATCAAAACCCTCCCCCCCCCAAAAAAAAAAACAAGCAAACAAAAAAAACAAATCCAGGACCAGATGGTTTCACAAGTAAGTTCCAGACAAGGATGAACTAATGCCTACCCTGCAAAAAAAACTTTAAAAATAAGTTAAAGAAGGAATACTATCAAATACATTTTAAGAAACCAACATCACACTGATACCAAAACCAAACAACAACACAAAAAGAAAACTACATACCAATCTCCCTAATGAACATGAATGCTAAAAATTTTACTAATGTTTTAGCAAACTGAGTCCAACGATGCATTAAAAGGGTCACACTCCATGACTATGTGGGATTTATTCCAAGGACATAAGGATGGTTCAGCATCCCAGAATCAATTAACATAATTCATCACAACAAAAATAAAAATGTGATCTTATTAATAGATGCCAAGAAAGCATTTGATCAAGTTCAACATACATTTATGATGAAGGCCCTTGAAAATTTGGAATAAGGAACTTACTTTACATAATAAAAGCCATATATGACAAACCCACAGCTAGCATCATTCTCAATAGTGAAAAACTAAAACGAGCCAAGGCTGTTCACTTCCACCACAGCTCATTGATAGGATACTGGGAAGTCTGAGCTAGAGTAATTATACAAGATAATGACATAAAAAGAATCCAAATTAGGAAAGAAGTAAAACCATCATTATTTACAGATGATAGAATATATATACAGCGAATCCTAAAAAATCCACAGAAAAACTAAAACAATAAACCAGTTTAGTTAAGTAGCAGGTTTCAATATCAATACACAAAAACCAGTCACCTGCCTGCCAATATTGCAAACAATACCTGGGAAAAAAACCTAACAGAGGTGAGATACCTATATAAGGAAAATTATAAAACTTTGTTAAAAGAGGGCACTCCCTGGTGGCACAGCAGGTTAAAGCATAGCACTAAGAAGCTAAAGCCACTTCAGCATGAGTTCGATCCCCAGCCCTGAAGGTGATCCACATGGCATGGCAGACCTCTCCTGACCCGCCTGCTGCTCCCCTCAGCAGTGTACTTAGTCAGTTGGCCTGTTCTGCTCCCCACTCTGTCTCTGGTGAATCCTCTCACTGCCCCTGCACCTCTGGCCTGTACCCCAGTTCTGTATGAATAAATAACTCAAAAAAAGAAAAAAAGAACACTCTTCTCTAAGAATATACATTGGAACAAGGAAAGCCTCTTTAAAAAATGGTACTGGGATACACAGATTTAACGCCATCCCTATAAAAGTCTCAATGACAGTCTTCAAAGAAATAGAAAAAATATTGATGAGATACATATAGAATAACAAAAGACCTTGAATAGCCAAAACTCTCATGACTAAGAAGAAAGAGAATGGAGGCATTACAATCCCAAACTTCAAGCTATACTACAAAGCCATAATAATCAAAACCACATGGTACTGGAACAAGAACAGACATACAGACCAGTGGATTCGAATAGAAAACCCAGATATAAACCCACAAGTTTATGGACAGCTAATCTCTGACAAAGGAGCAAAGAAGATACAATGGAACTAAGAAAGCTTGTTCAGCAAATGGTGCTAGGAAAACTGGGAAGCTACATGCAAAAAAATGAAACTAGATTACTACTTCACACCATACACAAAAATCAACTCGAAGTGGATTAAAGACCTACACAAAAGAACAGAAACCATAAAATACCTGGAAGCAAAGATGGACCAAACACTACATGACATATACTTCAGCGACATCTTTAAAGATAGAGCACCCAATGTAACGATAGTGGAGGCAAGGATAAACAGATGGAACTACATCAAGTTAAAGAGCTTCTGTACAGCAAAAGAGACATTACAAAAGACAGGCATCCCACTGATTGGGAAAAATTTTTCTTACACAAAATGAGTGATAAAGGACTGATCACAAAGATATATAAAGAACTAATGAAACTCAACAAAAATGAAGTAAACAACCCCATCAAAAAATGGGCAGGAGAGCTAAAAAGACACTACTTCAAAGAGGAAATACAGATGGCCAACAAGCATATGAAAAATGTTCAATATCACTTGTAATAAGGGAGATGCAAATTAAAACCACAATGAGATACCACCTCACCCCAGTGAGTGGCACATCTTCAAACAACCAACAACAACAATGTTGGCAAGGGTGTGGAGAAAAAAGAACTCTCCTGCATTGCTGGTGGGAATGCAAACTAGTACAACCACAATGGAAAACCATTTGGAGGTTCCTCACACTGCTAAACATGGAGCTTCCATATGACCCAGCAATCCCACTCACAGGTATCTACCCAAAAGACACAAAAACACTGACTCAAAAAGATACCTCCACTCCCATGTTTACTGCTGCCTTATTTACAATTGGACAGACACGGAAACATCCCAAATGCCCAAAAGTGGATGACTGGTTTAAAAAGAAGTGGTACATATATTACTCAGCAACCAAAAAAATAAATAAATAAATAAACATGTCTTTTGCAGTAACATGGATGGAGCTGGACAAGATCATGCTCAGTGAAATAAGCCAGAAAGAAAAGGAAAAATACTGGATGGTTTCACTCACAGCAGGAGTATAATGGACCAGTATATACCAGACACATTTTATGGGGGTGGAGTGTGGAAGGGGATCAGAAACAGTGGGGGGAGGGAAATGCACTGGACTATGGTTATGGCAGAGGATGATTTGGTGATGGGAAGTCCATGGGGATTACAACTGAGATGAAAAAATGCACAAAATGATGTAAAAAAAATTTTTTTTAATTATAAAATGTAAAAAAAAAAAAAAACAATGGTACTAGGCAAAAGGATACCTTCACCTCTCACCTCTTGTGTTTATTACACCATCATTTACAATAGGTAAAACCTGGAAATAACCCAAATGACCCTCAAACACATGAATGGATCAGGAAGATGTAGTATATTCACACAGTGGATTATTCAGCAATGAAAAAATGAAACAAACTCAAGCCATCTGCAGCAACATGGATGGAGGTAGAAGAGAATATGTTAAGCAAAATCAGTCGGAAGGATAAAGATAAATACCATTTGATTTTACTTACATGCAGAATATAGAGGAACCTAACAAAAGGGCAGTAAAAAATAAAACTTGCAAATTGACCATAGATTCAAGCATACAGCAGAGGCGAGAGAGAGGTCAAAATGGGAAGGAAGAGCACCAGAGACGACTGAGGTGGATCACAGGTGGTATGGTAGTGGAAGAACTATGGGGGCCCCTTCTGAGGGTAGAAATTAAATACTGTTCAAAATCTGACAAAATAAATTTTTAAATAAATAAATACACTGAATAAATGATATTACCATTACAAAATGGATGTTAGCTCTCAAGTTTCCTTTAGTGAAATTAAAAATTAAAGATGGTTGGGGGCAGAAAGCTCTCATACAATTCCTTGTCACTAGTATCTCCTCTCTCCTGTGATAAGTTCCTTTTTCCAGTGAGGTAGGGAAGAGGGTGAAGGAGGGGCCAGTTTCCTGCAGGGCCACCAATGGCATGGGAGCAGCTCTGCTGCTAGGTGCTCACAGTCTGCCCCACCATCCACTTCGGCCCAGACGCCCCAGTCAGCACAGCAACACCCATGCCACACCTACACCTGCTGCCCTCTGGCTCAGGAGAAGAACGAGCACAAATGTCTTAACTCAGACCTAATCAAACTGGCTTAGCTCCTCAGCAAGAGACTCAGCCCTGGCTCTTCTGCTGCCCAAGACTCGGTTTTCTCCTCGTGGAGATTTTGGGAAGGGGGAATTGTTGTGTTCTTTGGCTTTCCTCTCCCCTTTCTATTTAAAATACAATTTAAAAAAATAATTTTCAACACACCAGTGATGACAGAATCTACTTACTACACAGGATTAGTCTTTGTACATACTGTATCATGGTATATAAATTACTATGACAAGTCACCCAAAAGGACATGAAAATACTTTGGTTAAGACTAAGACTTGTTTACAACAGCTTCTTTGAAACATAAATGGCATAATGTAAAACTATGCCCTCTCCTTGTTTAATAATACGCTCACCCCACCCTCACCCCATAGTGCCCACCATCCTTAAAGATACTTTCCCCTCCAGGGATAGTTAAGTATTAACTTTTCCTTTACTTTGGCTTTTCCCATGTTCTTCAATTTAAGACATATAGGAATTTTAGTTTGGAACTGACATAATACTGACCTTGCTTAATAAAGTCATGAATGTAGAATGAACCTATGCAAGGGGCTGAAAAACATTACCCAGTGAAGCAACCGTTAAACTATGCCCTCCCTCTAGTGCCACTTTTTTGCTCTTCCTTCCCTTTGACTGAACAAAGCAAACAAACTTCTGCTTAAAGAGAATACAGGCTCATTTCACTCCAACAAGAAAAAATCAGTAACGAACTCAAATCAGTAAGACAGTGGCAGTAGGAAAGAGAGGCTGTGTTACAACTTTAAACAAAGGACATAGCCCAGTTTCTTCACAATGTGAAACTCTAAATTACAGCCATTTGTAGACCTTACCCTTCAGGACAGTGGAAGATTTCTGTTAACTTCCCATCTGTTCATTACAAAAACCCAATTTACTACTTCTCCTTCCACTGTCTCTTGTGGACATAACGCAGTCTCTTCTAAAAATTAACAACCACGGAGACAACAAAGGGAATGGCACCTTTTGGTCTCCATACCCCACCACTGGCAGAGGAGGGAGCAGGTAGAGGCGACAGGAAGCAGCCAGCGTCACACTAGGGCCCTCACCTGAAGAAGTCATGGGACAGTAAGGTGCAGAGCGCTGGCCGACATTTTGGAATGGGATTCAGCAAAGTTGAGTGCAAGGTCTGTTGAAAACTGGAAAGAACATCCGCTGAAACTGAAATCCAGAGCTACAGTTAGTTTCCAATGCCTTCTCCCTCTTTTCAGGACCTCTATAGCTGGAGACTGACGAGAGCAAAAACCAACCTGTAAAAGCCCAAACAAACAGAGCCCTGGCTGTTGCTGAACAGCATCCTGCTTGCCTGAAGTCAAACTCCTCAGCAGGTGTAGAAAATTGTCCTAACACCTCCAGCCCCACCCCCAGCAACTCCCCTTCTGTCCCCTCATTTCCTGTCAGTGTTAACTCAGCTCAGGTCTAATGGGGGTAACAAGTGGCAGGTGTGAGGGCCTTTTCAACCAACACATGTCACCAACAGAACAGTTATTTGAGTGACTGCTTTTTTGATCCTCCTAAGGATGAACAGCCACCATACTAGACATGGTAGAGAGAAGTGAGTTTATTTCTCACAAGGGATGTCTTAGGGCCCTTAGGTTTAATCCTTAAGTATTTAGAGCTGACCACAAAAGGGAGCTTATAACTTCAGAATCTGCATAAACCTGGCAAAGGAACTACATTAGGACTTCATAAGCTTCAGAAATGCCAAGATACAGGCCAGTGAAGGGCTAAGTATGACAGGCACCCTGCATCTGGTACTGGGGACAACTGGGGGTCTGGAGTGGTTCCAGGAGGGTGAGGCAGGCTGCCACGCATGCCATAGAGATGTCAGAATAAAGAAGAAAGCAATGTGTTCGGAAGTCTGGGCTTAAGGAGCAATGAAAGAAAAATGTAATAGTAAATTACATTAAGAAGAAAAAAAACAAAGAATAAAGATCAAGCAATGTTAAATTTGATTTAGGAATGAAAAATTTTTTCATCTCTTCTTCAGATTACTACATATAAATCAATAGCAGCATTCACTTACTCATTGGCTGGCTCAATATTGAAATATCTGGACCAGAACCACCAATCCCAATGAGTTTGACTGCAACACATGCTGCTGACAAATATGGTTCTGAGTGCTTCCTATTTAAAATTCTTTAAAGATGTAAACTAAAGAAACCCAAAGTTTCTCTCCTCACTACTGTAAAGTCTGCCCTCAATAAGTTAGTTGCCAATAGGTTCTATCGGTGATTAGACTAAAGTCCTTTGAACAGGCCCTGGGTGGTTTTTCATTTATTCTGTGGATATAGTAGTATAATTCTAACTCACCCTGTTCATTTAAAACTGTGAGCAAACTTTCCACCAATGTCCCAAATGAATAGGCATCCCGGGCATGTCCATGAGACTCTGGCAGAGTTGTAAATTCTGGAGACTAAAAGCAGTAAAGACCATTAAAATGAGAGGATCTTCCTTATACAATTTTTCTATTCTTCTCTGAAACAGTTCTCCCATTTTTGCACTTATTATGCCCAAAACTAACCATAAAATATCACACAATAATTTATAGTCTTAAACCTATTAGTGAGTGGAATTCATCAAGGATTTCTAAATATTAAATAAAGCAAAAAGAAAATGCTGGTCAGTGGCTTTCAAAAATATTTTTTACTGCAAGCCAGATTCATTGTCATAACAAATTCATTGTTATTACTATAACACTATATACACATAATGGAAATCAAAGCTCATAAAGCAATACTTAGCTTTATTACTATCATTCCTGAGGTGCCCAAGGATAGTTTCCATTTTATTCCCTCTTCCCCAAAATGTTAAATTAATATTACATTAATTTAACACCCACAAATCAATTTTAAAAAACTAGCATACAATCACAGTACTGATTCAGATAAACCTGAGCTATTTCAAGTCTTAGATCCATACCTAAGTTTATAGTTGGGCTTTTATTTCCTCTAAATATGAATTTGGGGATCAATGCTTACTTACAGTGCTTGTAAGAATAAATTCAGAGGAAGCAACTGTTTTTGAACTTACTGATCAATCTAATCTTTCTCCACCAGCACCAAAACATCAATAATTGTTCTTTTTCACATTCTGGAACCTAACTATGGGTAACCAAGCAGATGAAGGCTTGAGGGGCAGCACAGGGAAGGACAAGGATGCTCCTTCTCCATCTCACACTTCTAACACTTAATGTGAAATTCCCAGGAAGCAATAGCCCATTTCATTTTGTCTGTATATCATAGCTATCTGTACAACTAAAAATGTGAGTTTAGTGTCAAGAAATGTGCTCCCTTCTTTTGTGGTAATATTAATTTCAGAAGAAGGCCAGAGGCATTGTAAGGCATCTATAACTTAGCAAGCAGGTGGGTAGAGGAAAGCAGTCTTTTTTTTTTTTTAAGTTTTATATACGGTTACATAAAGAAGCTTTTGTAACATCTGCAGTATATCATCTTACCATTTCTTCAGGCGGAATAGATGCTGGATCTCTTACTGACTGAATACTCCTCAGAAACTAGACAGAGACATAAATGTAGGCAATAATTCATACATGTGATTGGTGAAGCAAACTCGTATACCAAGTTACAAAGTAATAAGCAAGGGAAACAGCAGCAGAATGAAACCTTCAAACCAAGACCACACATTAAATACACAAAATTAAAATATTCTTAATTAGAAGTTGCAAGTTCAATGTCTGGCACAGCACAAATCTTGGCAAAAAGTTATATTAGTCCCTCTTCTTCCCCTGTAGCTGGCTTAACAGACACCCTCTGCTGTCCAGAAGCATCTTTGCATCTTATTTTTCTTATGGAAATTAGGAATACTTCCTCATCCTGTGTAGATAGTGATGAAGGCTTTTTAGCACAGAAGAAAGCTATCAACTTTCTTACCAATCAAATCAACTTTAAGACCATATAAATTATAAAAGTTGAGAACCTTGCAGAGAAAAAAGTCACCAAACATAAATACATTTACTCATGGATTCAGAGGTTATTTTGAAGAACTTATTTTATCTGTCCCACCCAATACCATTTAAAACCCTAGTAATACAAAATGAATGGGCGAATCCAGGCCTCTGCCAGGTGCTCACAACCTAGAACACAACCTGAGTATGTTACCCGCATGTGCCATGTCCAAAAATCACAGGTGTGACTCATTTTGTTGGGGGGCAGGAGTAGCAGGGGAAATTCCCAAGGAGGAGACTGAGTTAGACTCCAACTTGACCTTACATTTTCAGGAGCCCAGGGGAGAAAGGCATCCCAGGGACAGACTGCAATGAACAAAGACCGAGGGAGGCAGCATATGTGTCAACACCTGAGCCCCTTGGCACAAGATGGGGCCAGAGCAGAGCTCAAGAACTTGAGTGTAGGCAAAGCTGATGGGGGTGGGGAGGGGCGGGGAAGGGCTTTGTGTGCTTGGAACTTAGGAACAGATCCCAGAGAAAATGGTATCCTGGCATTACATTAACTGGATGTAAAGATGAATTCTGAGACAAATGTGAGTAGCAGGAACAGAAAGAACCAGAAAAGTGTCTCATCGAAGGAGCATTTAAACTGAACAAGAGACCATGAAGGTGCACAGTAGAGAGGCCCAAGGGAGAAAGCTACACAGAGAAAACAGGGGTAATAAGGCCCAGCCAAGAAGAGGAGCCACTGTCCCATCAGGAGGTTATGGTAAGGATGTTTTTTCAAAAGTCTACTGGCAAAATGTAAAATGGTGAGATAAAACAGAGACTAGAAAGGCTCATCAAACTAGAAGGGAAACATGCAGGTCATTGTCAGACAAATTATAACAAGTGCCACAGGCAGTAGCAAACGGCTCATGAGGAGGAATTAGGATGCACAGGTCCCAGTTCCAGTCACCAGAACATAATGCATTACTTTGGGAGACTTGGAAAAGCATCCAGGGGACATTTCTTGAGTTCCTACTATGTGTCAGGAACCATCTAGTGGCATATCACTGGTAAGGAGTCAGGTAACTTCAGTATTAAGCAGGAAGTAGCCTAAGCTAAGTGCAGGGCACTACAGGGTGAGAAAGGAGGAAAATTTTATTAAAATATTTGAACAGTTCATTTTACCTCTTTCCATCTCAGATTCCTCATTTATCAAATGAGAAAGAGACAAATAATATATAGTGCTCCTTTGAAGAAGAAAATTCCAGGTTCTCAACTCTGTGAATCTAAGCACTGACAAAAGATCAATCAAAGCTCCAAATCCAAGATCTACCCTAACACTGGCAGGAAAGCCACAGACCCAGAGAATCAGAGACTGAAGGGGACCTTACCTCAGGGGTGGCCTGAGGAACACTGCAGACTGTGTCCATGCCTCCCAGTTTCCAATGCCCATCCTCACTCACAAACACAGAAGACAAGCAGACATTGTTGTGCGTGAGGTGCCCCTGGAAAGGAAGAACAGGACGTCTTCTGCTCAGATTTTTGGAATAGAAGTTTTAAAAAATTAAATGCTAATCACCAAAAAATAAAAGATAATGGCAAGCAGAATCATGACTTTAAGGAAGGCCAAACTGAACGAGGATAGAGAAGTGAACAAAGCAATGGGGAAGGAAGGCTTTTATCATCTCTCTGTGCTGGTCAGGCAGATTCAAGACATTAAACCCCTACACAGATCTGTACATTTCCTGTTCTACAGGCATCCTTAAATATGAATTTACATGTCTTTGAAACCTATACTACTTGGTTCTAATGCCTTTAAAGGTAAAAATTCATCTGTACTCCCACATAAAGTATTTTATTAATTTCCTCCTTTAAATTTTTTTTCACCTACATTCTGCCGAGAACCTACTTCACCTGAAATCACATCAGTAGGCTTTTAAAATTGCCTGAAGAGGAAAATGCAATGAGGGTCACCAGAAATATAGCACAGACCACAAAAGAACCCATCTTAAAACTGTAAAAAAAAAAAAAAACTACAGTCAAAAATAGTGGGTCACATGAAAGGAAGAAAAAGAGAACAGGGTTAAAGAATATAAGCTTTTTTTTTCACCCCCAAACCAGAAAGTTCCCCAGTAGATAAAAACATTCTACCCACTAGGTCAAATAAGTATTTTTATATAAAATATTCCTATGTATATATACATACACATATACGTGTACATATATTTTAAAAGATGTTTTAGAATAGCATGTTTCCATTTGAGAAAAGAGAAAGGAAAATAAGCATTCAGATAATCACTTTGCCCAAATACTGAGATGCTTAGAGTAACCCATGATCACCCCCACAGCCCCTCTAGAGAACTGGGCACTGGATTCAAGGAGAGGAGAGGACTTGCTATTCCTTGTCTGTGGTCTCATACTATTCAAACTTTCTACCAAGAACATTCTCCAACAAGGAAAATATTCCTCTTTAGTAAAGCATGAATTACTGATATGTGAATCTTAAGCATGCTTTTAAGACACAATAATTCCAAAGTGATTTTTGGAGTCTGTCTTCCACTTATAGGAAAAAAAATAACAAACATTAAGATGAATCAAATGCAAGTACCATTAACTTACAACTGGTGTTTTTTAATCTTGGGGAACTGCCAAGGTCTTAATACTTCAGAAAGTAAATTCTATTAAGAAACAGGAGCTGGCCCTCCCTGGTGGCGCAGCGGGTTAAAGCACAGCACTGAGAATCTAAAGCCGCTTGCGCATGAGTTCGATTCCCGCCTGCCCCGGAGGTGACCACATGGCATGGCAGACCTCTCCTGACCCGCCCGCTGCTCCCCTCAGCAGTGTACTTCATCGATCTGCCTGTTCTGCTCCCCACTCTGTCTCTGGTGAAGCCTCTCGCCACCCCTGAGCCTCTGGCCTGTACCCCAGTTCTGTATGCACAAATAAATAAATCTAAAAAAAATTAAAAAAAAAAAAAAAAAAAAAAAAGAAACAGGAGCTTCATGAACAGACAATGAACAGACCAGAAGTGAATATCTGTGCCACATTACCCTCTAGTAGCAAATGGTACCTTTAAGGGCACCTCTCACTGCCACTTCCTACTCAAATGGCAGGGGACATGTGCAAATGCTGCCTCTTTCTAAGAAATGGTTATTTCTGCCACAAAATTTCAAATGGATCAAAGTAGCTGAAAACAAATAGTTAAATTTGTAGCAGCATTCATGTCAAGCTTTTCATCCTGTCTTAATAACAAATATCAGCTACAGCTATTTTTAGGTAAAGGCTTGTTTGTCCACACAGAGGGAAATGATAGTAAACTGAAATTAAGTTTTATAAAGAACTGCTCAGGGGTCAGGTGTCTTAGCATCTCTCATACCTTCAGATGAACTATTTTCTCTCAGGAAGCTTTCTTTTCTTCCATTTTTTTTTTCTTAAAGAATTATTCACTTATGCATACAGAACTGGGGTACAGGCCAGAGGTGCAAGGGCGACGAGAGGATCCACCAGAGACAGAGTGGGGAGCAGAACAGGCCAACTGACGAAGTACACTGCTGAGGGGAGCCGCAGGCAGGCCAGGAGCCGTCTGCTGTGCCATGTGGGTCACCTCAGGGGTGGGATCCACGCTGGAGTGGCTCTAGCCTCTCAGTGCTGTGTCCAACCCACTGCGCCACCAGAGAGGGCCTCTTCTTTTCTTTTTTTTTAAGATTTTTATTTATTATGCATACAAGAACTGGGGTACAGGCCAGAGATGCAGGGGGTGAGAGGATTCACCAGGGACATAGTGGGGTAAAGAACAGGCTGATGTACTGAAATACACCCTGAGGGGAGCAGTGGGAGAAACAGGAAAGGTCTGCTGTGCCATGTGGGTTATTTCCCTGGTCTGTGTCATGAATTGAATTCATGCTACAGTGGCTGGCGATAGCTTGATAGTGCTGGGACTTAACCCCTGTGCCACAAAGGACCCCCACATTCCCTAAGAAGCTTTCTAGTAAGAACACTAACTTACACACCATAAGCGCTACCACATGCATGGAGCCCTGGTTTATAATGAAGTCTGCGAGGCAGACCATGTCCAGGATACTTACTCTGTCATGAAGGAAGATGAGCGCTAACAGTATGTCGTAGATCCCAGCACAGAGTTCTGCAGAAGATAAAGTTTCCATAACCACTTCCAGAGGCTGCACTCGTTCAGTGACAAGATGAATGCCATCTGCTTCCACAGTGCAAGATAAAAACCTTAGCAAGCAAGGGTGACGAAGTGTCTTCAAGTGCTTTAATAAAAATACAAATGGAAGAGTTGATGAAGTTCATGACTCAAAACCAGTTTATAGTTTTCTATATTATACACATCATGACAAAAGTCAGAAAATGTGTACTTGCATTCAAGGGCCTTTCCAGCTCCCTACTTTCAAGCTACCCACCCCCAAATTTCAAATCAGGCAAAGGAGAACCTATGGCTTTTTCTGACATTATCCACTTAACCAACATTCAAATAACTCTAGCATTACACATATGTGAAGCCCCTAAAAGCCCAGACTTCCCAATGATTACGTCCATGAATTCTGACCAAAGTGCTGAAAACAACTATTGACAAAGCTAAAAAGAAAACAAAAGCACCCAGATTCTGGGAGGGAATCAAAACTTGGAGAAGAAAGGCCATGGAGCTAAGTTTCCTATTTTCTGTTCATATGTTTTATTTTTCCCACAGCTGTGCCCCGAGGACAGGCCCTGCAGTGTGTCAAGGGAAGCTCAAACTCTGAGAGAAACCTTGCCATGTTTCTGGCCAGAAGAATCATAGAAGGAAAACAAAGCAGAACAGACTATGAGGGAAATGCCCGGGTTAGGTGCACACCCACCAGAGTCTCAGTCTGACCCTGAACCAAGCATGACTGGACAGACCCAAATAAAAAAAGCAAAGTTTTGAGAAATAAAATGACGCTTGATTGCCATATATAGGAAGGTGGGAGGAGAGTAATTAAAAATCAAAAACTTCCAATTCTCCAGAGGGCTATAGCAGAGCCAAGCTTTATGCAACATTACATTTACAATATCCAGAATGTAATACAAATTACTCAACAAATCATTGTGAAATGTAAACACAATCCACCAATATTAACCCCAAGATGGCCCAGGTGTTAGGATGATCGATTTTAATCAGTTATTTTAACCATCTGTCCTAGAGATAAAGGAAAATAGTTATAAGTAAGTGGACAGAAAGGAGTTCCCAGCAGTGTAATGAACATTACACAAAGGAACTAAACTATATAAAAAATTTTATAAATGACAATTAGCAAAACGAGATGACAGGATAAGAGTCAGCAAGTCTTATTATCCAAGTTAGGAACAAAGAAAAAAGGCATTTTTAAAAATTTGGTCAGAGCTTCAGGAGCCTGTGTGACAATAACAAAAAGGCTAACGTCTATAAATTACAACCCCACAGAGAGAAGAAAAGAATTAGGACATAAAAATGTAATAGGTAAAATATTATCAAACTGGCCAAATACTTAATTTTGCATATTTAAGTTCCACGAACACCGACAAGGAGAAATCAAAGAAAACCACATGTAAGCATACTGTAATCATCATGAGGAAATCAAAGGTAAATAAAATATCTTCCAAGGAACAACAGGTCAGACCAGTGAGTAGGAAGGAAAGTTGCCTGGTTTAGTGCTGACCTGGAAATGCAGTGAATAAATTTCTACATGACCTAACAAAAGTCATTTTTACTTCTGCATATTTTCTAACTCTATATGCCCAGTGAAATGCTTGGACCCAAGTGACTCCTTGTTTGTTTAAAGGGAGGTGGGGGGACCTCCTCATTGCAGAAGAGCCACTTAGCAAGAACCATACTTGTCATTCCTTTTTAGCTTACTTCATGCTATGCAAAAGTTATGCAGCAATTCTCAGAAGTGATTAGCAGTTAGGAATCAAACAGAAAGAGCAACTTCTGCTATTCAAAAAACAGACATCAACAAGATGCATTTACTAAGTGCAAGTAGGATATTTCTCAAGGAACATCAAACTGAAGCGATAAGTAGAGAAAGGAACTATATACGAGTGCCTGAAAGATCATTGAAAGCTACTGCACTCTTACATCCATTCACAGAATCAAGTGACTGGTCTTGGAAAGAGTTATTTCAAATGTGGACCTCTGTTACTAAACATGAGTAGTACTGGAAATTTGTCAATATTTATACTTCTCTATGCTAAGTGTGAACATCTAGTGTTTAATATAAATTATTCCCACTTTTCAGAATCAGTCATGACTCAGTTATCTAGAGAATGAATTCAAGCAGACTTTAGACACATAACTTCTAACCAGGCTGCCTCTGATTTGCTGTTTCAATTTGAGAACCACATACACAGCATACTGGCTCAAATTCACTTGCATTTTTTTTTAGATAGGCAAAATATTATAATTTCTCTTTTAAAGAAACATAACAGAATAACCAAAAGTCCTAAACAAGAGAGCAAATAATGTTCAGGGAGAAATATTTCTCCCTATCCCCCTAAGACACAAGTCAAGGGGATTTGCATTCTACATTTACATTCAATCTTTAAAAACACACTGTCTGCAAGTTAAACTAGGAATAGAATGCAAAAAAGGAAACGGATACTGAATTCTAGATTAGAAAGCTTGCACTTGAGATGCTGGTCGAATACCCAAGTGGGGGTAGTCAACAGCAGGATGAACACAGACCTGACAGTCAGACAAGTGGCTTCAGCAGATGTATTGTTTGGGTGTGGAGGCGGAGTGGTTATAACAGCAGCAGAGAAGAATGAGAGTGAAGTGTGAAGCTGGGCAGTCCTACTGTACCTGACGGTAGGGAGCACTTCTGAAGTTGTGCTAAGTGGATGATGTTATGATGTTCAGAAACCTGCTAAGAAAACTAGGTTTTCATTATGGGCATAAAGGAAATAGCTTTTAAAGAGCTGACAAAGTAGAAAAATTGATTCACTGCAAGAAAAAAAGAAAAAAGAAGGGGCTAAGAATGACAGGAACCAAATAAAAATGTCACAATCAGAAAGAACCATAAAGCATTTCCCAAGCAGAATACAAGCTCCACAGGAAAGAAAAATACAGGAAAGTTCCTAAAATATTTTATTTCTAGGTCTCCTACCAATACCTAAAGTGTTGTCAATACTTAAAACAGTTTTGTTAAGCTAGATTAACTTCCTTTATCTTATACTAGCCATTTAAAGTAACTTTCCTTACTTAAAAAATTAAAAAGCTGAGTTTTATATAAAGCTTTTGGGCTACAGTTAGGGTATCTGACCATAGCATACAAGTTGGAGACATTCCACACAATCAGGACTGCTATATTCTAAAAGACGTGTTTTTAGAGCACATGAGTTATATTTTTTATGACCTACCTGTTTGCCCTTTCTTAATTTTATATTTAATAGAAAATAAAAACTATTAAGTGATCACCTATTACTATACCTTGGCAGCTTTATTAACCTTGTCTTCGTTTTCTCTTTTATACACAAAAACAGAAGCAAATTTGCCATCTTGCAGCACAGCAGGATAAACAGCTAGTCCAGAGGGTAAGGTGAATGGAGGCTCTTTCAGTGTGTAGCTCTTCAAAGCGCTGTTCTCTGATCCCATCCCTTATGCAGTGAAACAGGGTCACAGCTCCTCAAAGCCAAGCAGAACTGAAAGAAAACAGAAAACATGTTCAAACATTAAGTTCCTATCTGTACCATGAGTAAGAGAGACCCAAGATTTCCAGGTACCATCATTCAAGCCTACTAGCTTCTGAAATCCCTTTAAACCAGGTCATTTGAAAATAAAAACAGTAAATGCTCAGCAATTTGCCAAAAATGTCTGTCAATTAGCAACAGCTCCAGAGAAAATGCACGTAGCCGAATAGCCACGTGCAGTTGTTCTCCCTTCCCTTACAACTTTCAGAGTTGAAAAGTCATCTAAAATAAACAAGGCCATTCATGCTCCCTCATTCACTCTGAAATACTGTAAAATGTGACTACTCAAATAGATGAAATTTCTATATCTAAAATAACACAACTATACAGAAAATAATACAAACTGGAGAATATTTGTAACAATGAATGAGAAACATATCAACAAGTGGAGAGTTCACGTGAACCAAGTTAAACACTGACAGGCCAGAATAATGGGAAAGGAAACAAGGCAACTTACTGAAGAAATGCAAATAACAAACATAAAGGTGAACTCTCACTTCAAAGTCATGCAGGGTAAGAAAATCCTAAATGTATCTTCTCAAATGCTAAAAATAAAAGTAAAAAGCCAGACATGAAACTCTAGAAAAAGACCAGCTACACTACAATAAAAAAAAAA